ATCGATACAGTGACACTTTTGGTTTGGATACAATATGATTGAACACAATAAAGAACTTTGAAATTCACCTTGTAATCTTAGCATGAGATTAGGTTGAATCTTTGCAAGATATGAAATTTCAAAAGCTAAAATCAAATCTTACTGTATAGAGACAAATACTAGATAATAAGTAAATAATATCAAACTTAGCAACAAAATATTACATAAATGAAAATTCAGAAAAAATTATATGAATGATATTCGAAATTCTATAATATTTATTAAATTATATCTGCCATAAAATGACTAATTAATATAAAATTAGCAAATATAATTTTAAAACCTTTAATTTGATTTTACTTTTTAGAACGGTAATTTTGATCAGTTAGTCCCCAATATCCTTTCCCATTTTCTTTTTTAAAAAATATTACTTTTAGTTGATTTATTTGACCACAGTAGCTTCGGCAGGCATAATATCTGAGTTCATCGTTTTTATTCCAATTCGCATATTAGCAATAAATGAGGATTTGAGTTCCTGCCATCAGATGTTGCAATTTTCAATTTATGGTCAATTTTTTGTAATTTTAAACGATTTACGAATTTCCCCGATATGTATCAATTGATAGACACAGAAATATTTTCTTAGTCACCAAAGAAAATAAGTAGTAGGACTAATAGTGGTTTGAGATTTGAAAATAAGATTGTGCTTATTTGTATTTCTTCAGTGGAATTGTTGAGTATATTACGTTTCAAATTTTTTGACGCCTTTAAACAGTTCAACATTTTTTGTTCTATGATTTCATTAATTTCCCACAATCAGATGAAATAGTAATAAATCAGATGGAATAATAATATTTTCTAAAATCAGATGAAATAATAATAAACTAAGCGGAAGAAGCAGAAAAGAAGTAATGTAAGAGATAATGAAAATATTAGTAAAACGTAGAAGAAAAACTTATTTCTCTAAATGTTTAATTTTGAAAAACCTGAAATTAAAATTTTTTCTCTCAAATTTTTCAATACAAATTATAAAAGTGAATGAATTACTTTCTCTTTAAATTGTCTAAATTTCAATATTTTAATAATTCATTTGATGATATTAATAAATCAGTTAATGATAATGATAATAATACATTTAATGATAATATTTCATTGTGATAGAAATCTTTATAAAAAACTCCTAAATTTATTAAATCAAAATTGTATTTTGATATAGAGCTTTTGAATTGCTATTTTGTCTTCTTCGTAGTTAAATTTTTGAAATGAAATAAATAGTTGCAAAGTATTTGTTGACGTTATAATTGGTAAAAGTTTTGCGAAGCAAAAATATAAAATTTATTAAAGCGTCATATACATTATGATTCTATTTTCCTCAACAGATTTTGATCATAACATATACTTCACTTCATCATATGCGGATAACTTATAGATAATAATATAATGAGACTGAAATAATCACTGCTAATTTTATATTTCATATATTGAAGCCATCCTTTCAGGTTTATAATAACAAACTTTCTCCTACGAATTTTACTAATTTGCTTTAAATAATTTTGTTAATACTATTCTATCAATACTAAATAAAAGAAAATTTAGATGAGTAGGCTTATCCAATAACAAACGCAAATAAACTTCAATGATATCAAATTCAAATATGAATTTTATCTTTGAAATAAATTAGTGATAAGAAAACTTCAGTAAAAACCGACAAAGAAAAACAAATAAATATTGTAGAAATTTTATCCATTATGAAGCATTTTTTTTTAAAATTAGTTGAGCAAAATTTATTAGAATAAAAAGGTAAGAAGCCTTTTACTTATTTTCAGATGATGAAGAGGCACGTAAGAAGTTAAAATAGGCATTTTCCTATACTTTTTCCCAATTTCGTTAGATACCTCATTTCCTACCGGAATTTAGTATCTTCAAATTAATAAGTCTGCAGAAATTTCAGAAGAAAGACAATCGAGCAACAGAATTAAAGTCTTAATTTCAATTTAAAAAATCACATGCAGTCGAAGGAGCATTGATTTTCTAACTTAAATGAGCCACCAAATAAAGAATAAGAAAAAAACGTGACTGGAATTCCTTCTTATTAAAGAAATTTTTGTAGAAGTAAAGAAATTCAGAGTTTCATTTCAAACTTTGCAACGAATTTTGCAGGAATTATTTCTGTTGCATATATACATCATTATAATTGCCATAGATTATATGTAACTACATATAATAAATATCAGTAAATTAAATATATCAAAAATTTAGTAATAACAAATGTCTTTGCTTATATACTGAGTGGCCAATATATTTATAGGGTTGATATTATTACATAGCATTTAAGCATATAAGACAATTTATGCGTAATTCTTCGCTGTCTCGTTTTACTTCTTTTCGTTTCATAATATTGTTATTTTTATGTGCTTATAGTTACTGTAGTGAGGAGCATATAGTACTGTAGTGAGAAAAATAACATCTAGACTAGAACAGTCACAAATTTTTGATGCCCACAGCAACTGCACTTACATTCTACCGTTCCACAACAATGAAAAAACAAAAGATATGAACTTTTCAGGTTATTTTTCAAGCAACCCATAAAGATACATTTCAAAGCTGTTTGGATTGAGCTTTTGAAACTTCTACAGTTTTGGTTGCTATAATGCAACAACGAGATATGATGAATTACTGTGATACATCTGTCTTCTTATAATAAATATTTACACATTAATAAATTGTTTAACAATAAAAACAAAATATACTGCTGCACTGCATATGCAAGCCTAGTACAGTACACCAGAAAAATCGTTTGGTAAGTCAATTTTTAGATAGAAATCTTATGCTTTACGTTTTACCTATTCAACGAATAAAATGAATTTTTTCTTCGCCAAAACCCACTGGTGAAACAGGCTGTCAATAAATACAAAATAAATAAGTTTTTAGATCAAGTTAGGTCTAAAACATGTAGTTAAAAAACCCATAAGTATACATGACTCGTAGGCTCGTTTTAATTCTATGAAACACATTCAAAATGCTTTGTGAATCAATTCATTGAGAACGAATAATTGAAATGCTTTTTTTATAAATACTTTATAAATACTATTACATAAGCACTATTATGTAAGCAGATGGTTGGTTCTGAGCTGAGTTGAAGTATTCTGCAGTAATACTGATGGGAAGTGGATACCTATCATCAGTACTACTACAGAATCCTTTGAAATCATAAAAAATATAATGTGGCAAAACCTAAGATTCTCGCCTGTTTGGTCCCAATAGTAACTTCAAAGACTCTTCCGAAAAGATATTAACTGTCATCGGTTTTCGAATCACTTGGCTGGGTCTGCAACTCAAGTTGTTTGCAATATCACAACAACTGAAGGCGTTTGTCCGACATGGACAGTAGTGCGCATTGTTCTGTGAATCGCATTCCATATGAACCATATGGCCACAACTACAATTTTGGAGATAAATTCTGCTCTGAAACCATTATTCAATACAGAAGCCAAAAAAGCACATAAATATACAATCCTGAATCAGGAACCATAATACGTGCCTGTAAAGATATGATGATTTGTTTGGTAAGCGTCCACAGCTAATGCATACATTCGATGTGATCAAGCCGGCAGTGCGACGCGTCGACTGCTTCATTAAATCGTTCAACCTACAAATCTATTTATCAGAACTCAAGAGAGCGAGGAAAATTCTTCATATTTATCTCTACATATATTTTGAATCATAAGAAATACATGATGTATTTCTGTAAAAATTTCGAAACTTATATCAATTAATTGCCCAATTATTTATTAACCATACTGGTAGTTATTCATTATCAAGTATAGTAGAGTTCCAATGCTGTCTAAACAGCTAATTGTATGAAATAAAATTCAAGACGGTACATTTGTATAGTCTCTTCCTCGATACATCGTACAGTTTCTTTTAAGAGTACATCTTCATAGCGACATGATACAAACATGAATGTTATCAGTGAACGGAATTTTGCATATGTTGAAAATCTGTAATTTCTTCTTATTAAGATTATCTCGGAGACTCCATTTTTTTTCTAAAGATCCAAACAGTATTGTCCATTTGCGAAAAAAAACGATTAGGTGGTACCGAAATACTGGATGAGTAAATAAGACATCAACCAAACGTTCTGCGTCACCACTCCCATTTTCCATAATTGTAGCGATTACGTTGTTTAGCACCACCGTCATACCTTCAAGATCTGATATCGGATTTTATATTTAAAAAGCTTCTGCAATATTAGTCGTCCATACAACTGGTAAGAAAACATGAGTTGGTTACGAAGTTGATTTTTAACTTCTGAAGTCGAATTGCTGGAGAAAATATTATAAACTTGTCGAGCAACAAATTATCTTTTATATATATTTTTTTGATGTAAATTTTTTTTGAAAACGCGACAGGAATATGAAATAAGGACATTGAAACTTCAAAACTTCGCTATTGCGAAGAAGTCTTCGAGTCAAAAGAGTAATAAAATCGTAGTTGCACTAAAAAAACATATAGATTGTTCAAAAGTGAGCTTATTTGAAACAAGGTACATTAGTATTCACCTGACTCTTCCTGCAGCTCTGATTCTGGAAGTGAAAGGATTCTATTCAGTATTTTGAACAACCAGTTTCCTTGTCGAGCTTCTTCATGATAAATATTAGCCAAACGAATTGTTTCATAAATATATTTTGCTAAAGTACATAAGCTATAGATAAATTAATTTCTCTACCTCTTTTTTCAATTTTACACACTCAAAAACTGAAAACTTACCCGAAAGCATTGCGTTTTCTACCCACGTCTTTTCAAGTTCACAGTCAAGCAGTTCGAAAGCCCCATTTAGAAGTTTTCTAGCTTCCAGAAGTAAAACACTTGATAAAATAAGCTTATGCTTCACCGTATAATTCAAACATTGATCTGTTCTCGATGCTATCTTCAGCCAATAACGTAAAAATTCGCTCAGCTGCTAAAATTAAATATGTTTGGTTTGATACTGATTGCTGAGGCAGACATGATCTGCGTTGCCGAAGCGTAGAATAACAATAAATTTGATTACCGTGTCCGGATTTTCAAATAAATTATGCATCATAGTTCCCTTTATAGCAAAAATCAAAAGTTGCTCATCACGTTCTTCAAAATCTGTTAAAGTTCGATATCCACGATTACGTCTAAAATACATAAATTAATGTCCAACAGTTTCTATCAACTATAATTATAGACAATCTTTTCAGAGTTCATAATGAGCTCTTTAAAATATAGAATTACTGTAATTAAAAATACATTAAAATTATTCAATATGGACAAAATAAACCTTGCTACAAAGCAGTAATAATAGAGTAACAATACATCACTGTCTTCCAAGGTTTCCTTGGACAGCCATTCTATAAAGTGATCAAGAATAATTTCGGCCGTCTGGCTATAATCAACTTTTGCGAGTCTCTGTAATAGCTTTTTACTCCATGAAAAATGGAATGGAAATTAATTAAAGAAGGAAACAATTAAAGAAACATTCAAAATCTCTAAAAAGAGATCGATGAAGAAATGTAAAATAACATAAATATCTGTCTAGACTAAGAGTTACTGTAAATAATAGGTCAACTTTCCTCAAAAACTTATCATCTCAATGTAAATACTAAAATATTAATGCAAATTTGTAAAAAATTAGAGTTAAAATACCTCCAGAGAATTCCATAAAAACGAGTAAAATTTCGATAATTCATCGCCCTGTAGCTCTGATAATAATGTTCTGATCAGAGGAAATACGAGCACATGAAAATATGCACAATTATATAATTATTTCGATTTATGGAAGAGAAAGGGTTCTCTGAACTTTTAATAAAAATATCAGGGAAAAATATCTACAGTTGTTAACTATAGAGAACGAAAAGAAGAAATAACATACTGCATTCGTTGAGCTATTTAGATAACATTCCACTAAACTGACGAATTCCCGCCTATTTATATAAATGTGTGAGCAGACCTGCAAGCTAAAAATATTCAATTGAGACCAGAAAAGAAAAAATTGTGCACTAGAATCACGAAACGAATTGGATAATAATTTCCGGCTGTAAATTTTGCATTTCGCAATTTATGAGGTAAAAAATGCTGCTAAGATAAAAATGATTCGTTCAAAAGTAGGATGGACATACTGAGGTAGTTTTCTAGCTTGTTCCAATATCTTCATTTCGTCGAGGCCACTCACAATCCTCATTACATCCACAACAGATCTTTCAGCGTCTGCAACCCGCTCAATGGATTCACCAAATAATAGTACCATTTCGATCAACTGTAATGCTTGGATTATATGTAAAAGACCTAGACATAGAATTTTCGAGTCTGTACTAAACGCAGTTATACGAAAAAAAAGAAAAAAATTCTCAACAACAGAAGTGCACCTCGTTAATTGTATCAAGCACTGGTAAAATTGCTTTTTTCTGTAAAAGGTGAGCAACAAGAGTGAAATAATTGATGAAAAGTACTGCGCTTCTATCCATCGAACTAATTATTTGATATATTATCTCCGTGATTCTCTGTAATCGCCCGTCTCTAAAACTATAGAACTTTATCTCAAATAGAAGAGAAAAGATGAGGCACAGTGAAATGATAACCATCATGTATGGTACTCGATTTTTCTAAAGCCAATTGGACAACGCTACTAGAAGTGATGATTGCGAAGAGTTTTGCGGCTTGCGAGCATTTTTCGAAAAAGATTTTTCTATTTAGCTAAGATATGATTGTAGACATAACATAAAACTACTTCATGAAACCTATAAAGTAATGAAAAGTGTGAAACTATACTACAAGTCGTTGGATGAGATATACTCGATTATGCTTTATTCTTAGAATATCAAAGACGAAATTCAAAAGAGTTGTAATAGATTAACATCAATTACCACTTGTGTTCGAACATTAAACAGAAATAAACTTACTTTGAATTAAAAATATCACTGTCTGAACATGTAAATATGACGTTAAAGAACTGAACAGCATCAAACTTGATGAGTACTCGTAGATATGGATATATAATTGAAGCTGAAAAATATATTTTGGAAAACAGTAGATCTCTAAATCATTTAAGAGATGAATGATGATGACAGTGGGAGTGAAAGAAAGTTACCTGATGCGCCATTTTTGCCCTTGTAGGAAACCAAGCAGCGATATACTTGCAAAGGAAGAGTTATAGCAATCTCTTCCGGCAAAGATCCAATTGGGTAAGCTCTACCTGACAGGCAACACTGAATATACAGTAATAACTTATTCCCTAGTGCTATTTCGCAATCTGATAGCACTTCACAGTCGACAAGTTCCGTCAAATTATCAAATATCTCCTGCAACATTTACTGAGAAAGCCTTAGACGGAAAAAAATCTTTATAAGTCGCAACAACAAAGGTTGTTTTCAAGATCACAAGCTTGTTATAATTAAGCGAGAAGTAAATCATTAGTTGCTCTCCTTATAACTTCCATGATAGCACAGCAGGTAAGTATACTAAACAGTGAAAGCTTTATATCAACACAAAAAAACTGAAAAATACTGTTACTGCTGTTTCGGTTTGGCTTTAATATTGTTCTCTATAAAAACCATATTTGGTGGAGTGTCTAGTTTACATGAATGTACATATTGACTCTTAAATTTCCTCTAATGATTTACTTCACACACGTAGCATCATGTCGCATTATTATAGGGTGTTAACAAGACTTTCAAATGGTTTATAGGGGATAATATTGAAGGCGCTATCTAATAACAAAAATTGTGTAATTATAAAGCAGAGAAATACGGAGAAAACATCTGTCTTGCGTCTTGGGATAGCTTGACTGTAGAATGTTATTTTATTTAGAAACATCTTTAGATGGAACTACTGAGAAAATTTGAAGTATAGGAATATTAGCTACTTTACTTGGTGCTGTCTGTTTATTAACAAGGAGTTCAACAATTGGCATTATTCTCATTGACTGACACATTATGATAGCTCTTATCTGTATATTTATGATGATTATGGTTATTTCGTGGATGTACTTATTTTATCTCTGATTACCTTAAGTGTATTTCTACTGCACACCTTAATTTCTTTCGAGGTGTAAAAATTTTTACATCGTGAGTTTTAATTAAGAGATGAAAAAGGTTTGAAATATAAATAATATAACGACTAAAATATACATGTTTACCTCGAGTGGTCCTATATAATCTGACATTGCCTTATTATAAATATATATGACGCCATCGTAAAGTCCATTTTTTCTACAAGTGGTCATCACGAAATGAATGTCCTGTTTCTCAACTGGAATACGCACTACTGCTGCTTCAAATTGGTTTAAATTGCCTTCTGATATCAAATGATGGAAATAATCGGAAACCTAAAATAAAGTTTTTATCACCAGAACTCATCAATGAAACATTCCTCCCAATATTTCCGCTATCAAACGTTATTATTTAAGTTCTGTTCAATCTTATATTAGAAGGTCGAATGAGCTTCCCGCAAGTTCGCAATAAATCATAGTAAACTTGAGTTACATTAGAAGTTACAAAAGAACAAAAAGAACGGTAAACTTTATACGTAGACAAACGCAATAAATGAAAGTAGTAAGACGAACTAGCGCAGGAGGTGGGTTTTCCAATCGTCCATCCAATACAACTTCATCGATGAACTCGAAAAATATTGCCTTAGAAAGAGTGTCTTTTTCCAAGCAGCTGTACACTGTATTATACAGTAAATCAAACTGATTAGTCGTGACACAAGCTCGTATAAGCAGTTGAATATGTTTCTGAAAGTTATCGAAATAAAGATATATCTTTATCTTTAGGAAGTATAGAAATTATAGAAATTATACGATCACATTCAATATGTACTCTATATTTTACAGATCACATGCACTCTGTAAACATTTTCGTTATAAATTTTAATATGGATAATATAATACACTAAGTACAATCTTCCCTCGGCACAACTTTTACTTACTTTGTAGTGATCGATAAGTTCTGTTACTTTTCCATTCGCAAGACCAGATATAGTTAAATTTAGCAACGCTTGAATAAGAGTACGAATTCGTGAATAAACGAAATGTCTCAAATTTAGTTGTTTCGTTTTGTTTGCTGCTCTACCCATAACGATATCAAGAGCAAAGAGAATCGCTGGTACCATCTGTCCTCTAAAATATTGTGTCTTTTATTCTTAGATACAAGACAACTGCGATTAAGTCCATATTACCAGATTTCAATATTACAACGATTCCACAATAAAAATAATTCAGTATTACAATGGTTCCAAAATAAAAAATAACCGGTCAATCAAATTCTCCAGTTGCGCTATTTGATCGCTTACTGAGACCATATAAATAGAAGACTGGCCAAGAAGAAATATCAAGTTTTCAACACGGCAAATCGACTGATAACATACACAATTAGCCATGTAATCCAAGGCAGCACTTACATTGCCTCCAGTATACAAGCCCTGCAAAAAATTTCTTAGTGTCATTCTTCTACATTTGCCTTTTTTATCCAGCATACCTTGAAATCAGCGGTAGCATATGTTAGTTGTACATCGCGAATATTTTCCACCGCAATATCTCCCTGCACAGTGTCGATCATATGAATTCTTTCATCAGCATCTACAACGACCAAATAACACGGTTCTACCCACTTCAGATTTATCATGTCGAAATCCAACAATAATACTCTAGAATGAAAAATAAAAATGAAAAACGGAAAGATAAAATGGAAATAAACTATTAAGAAAAAATGGAACGAAATCATCAAAGAATAAAAATCAATAAATTTTATGGAAACGGATTTTTAACAAAACCCTACCAAAAACAGAGCCAAAATTTTAAGCTTAAGGAATATATATATTCAATTAAAGATACCAAATATATAACAACTTTATATAACAGACAGCATTCAGCATATGTTCTGAAAGAGAACTTGGTTTTTAAAATCTGATGCATAAAGATAAAAGAAAAAAACCGAAAACAAATTTTATAGAAAAAGTTTACTCAAAATATTCAAGAAATAATGCTGAGACACACCGGTAACGGATGACTCGCAAATTTGACAATGAATAACTTAAATAATAGAATTCAACTCTCGAACCACGTCCCACACAGAAAGCAGTGGTCTTGTTTTGTGGTGTTTCCTGAAAGATGTTAAAATAAGGAAAGCTCAAAAATACATATTAAAAATTTTTTGCTGGGTATTCTAACTTTCACTGCTGGGATATATATCACATCAAATTAGTATAACAAAAATGGAGTATTTAAAAAACAGCGCAAATATCAACTGTATTACGACGTGAAATGATATAGTCAACCTACCTTGATATTTATTGTCTGACAATCAATCAAAGGTGGACGATTGGGGGGTCCGTTGAATGAAGTGGCGTATACCAAACGCATTTTTTTCAAGCTTATTAGAAATAATTTCTTGAGTGATAAAAGAGCTAATATGTGATCACTGTCCAACATTTTCAAATACACCACCTGTAACCACACTTTAAAACTACATCTTCACAATTAAACTGTATAATAAATTAATTTTTTCCAAATACCACACCTCTCCATGACAACCCGAGAAAACACAGCGAGTTTTCAGTGATCGAACTGTTGTTGGCAATGTTAGCTCATAAACCGAACCTCCACTATCCAGGCAAGCAAGTCTCCTGTCACTGAAACAGTAATACATTGGAAAAGATCGAATAGAAAAAGGAGCGACATGGCATAACAAAATTTATGGTTGATTCAAGTAAAAACATCATATTTATTACTTGAAGTTAGGTATGAATTACTTGTAATACTTAATTACAGTAAGTACTTATAATGTATATACCCAATAAAATTTTTAGCTTGTTTGCTGATTTCCAAGCAACAGAAATGGAACTGTAAGATACATTTAAGAAAAAAAAGAGGGATAAACTTTTATAAATAAATAAAAATTGCACCTTGCACAGAAAAGAATTTGTAATACACCTTGTCCCGACTGCACTACATTACCGACGTCGTGCATCATCTTACCCGTAGAAACATTGAAAGTACGTATTAAACCCGAACCATAACCAATGGCTAATAGTGTGCTAGTTTTGTTGAAATCAAGACATGATACTGGGCAACCGTCTGCTGTTATCGAATGCAGTAGTCTGCAAATCAAGATCAGCACGCTATTGCTTTAAAATTCTGAATTAGAAATGAACTAGAAGATTTAGAAAAGAAAATATTGTAGTAACCTTCGATTTCCACAATCAAAGATCAGTACTAATCCTCGACTTGTCCCAATAGCAATATTAGTACTAGAAACAGCCAAGGCTCTAGCGTGACCTTCAAAACTACGATTGTTCCGCGTCTTCAATTGACATGTAATGGACTCTAAAACAAGTTCGGCGATGATTTTCATCGAAACTTTATTGATAACATCAATAACATAAAACAAAATTCTGAAAATTTTTTTTTTGCTTTCTAATCAACAGTTAACAATGTACACCATGCGATCTAAAATTACGATCTTTTACAACAAACATGACATAACCACATACGAAAAAATCAGATATGTCCAAATATAATGGTTCCTTATGAAGACATGCCAAGAAAGCAACAGAGTGCGTTGACTAGTTAAGGTCAGTAGTTCAGAGAGTTACAGTCTGACCAATGGGTAATTTAAAGATGTAAAATCGCTAGTCTTTGTCAGAAAATAAGTGACTTTCGTTGTAATGATCTCGATCTAAATGAATGATAAGAAATAAATTGGTGGTTCGTGTCTACGACAGATTTCTGCTCAACTATAGCTTTTAGTTTTTTTCTTTTTCTGGCGCGATGTCATCCCTTTCACTACACTAACAAAAGAGTTACCTAATTCACTGATATGAAGTGGTGAATCCAACGTGTACGAAGTAACAGCCGATATCGGACTCGACTGTCGTGGTGTCGTGAATAGCGATTCTTCGTCATCTAATCCACCCAGAATTTCCTCATCCAAATCCAAAATTTTCTGTAAAAATCCGAGTTTATCCGAATCACTTTTTGGGGAAAAAATGAAGTTCACATTGTTTTAATACTAACATCGGCAAGGATCTCATTAAGAGTTTGCTCCGGGATACTGATTGAATCATCAATTTCAATCCATTTATCCACAATGTCTTCATCGGTAGCTATCGACGACATTGGCCATCTAATGCAATTTAGCTTTTCTTCTGCAAAACGAACTATCTGTTACTTTACAACTTCATGTAGCCACGGTATTCTGCAAATCATTGAACTTGAACAAGAAGACACTTAAAATTCATACAATCTAACAGTGTCCAGCACTGCTCGTTATGACATTCTTCTTACAGCCGTTTGCAATGTGAATACAAACCTTACCAATGCAAACGATACGGGACTGTGTTGTGTGTGTGAGTGGTTGGATGTGGATGTGAGTGTGGGTATGTTGCAGATATCGGTAAGTGTAGCAATATAAGGCTCTCAGGTCTATTTTGTTTCTTTATTATTCAGTTGTCTTACTCTAGTTTCACTTAGGAACATCCAAGTTCGAATTCATTCAGATTTAAATTTATTTATGTTTAAAGCTGTCGAAGTCTTATATATCTTTTCGTCATGTCAAAGTATGAAGAATAATAAGACTATTTTGCTACCCCTTTGTTTATCATTCTTTCTCCAAATGTGATTTTTTAAGCCTTCAGCAAAAGAGCCACAATTAAAAAAGTGTGAAATATATTGTTATCAGCAGAATTTTGCGATGCATAGCGGAAGAAAAAGATTAAAGATAGTTATTAATTCCATTGTTAAAGCTTTCTTCACATTGTTCAAATTAAACATTAAAGCTGATAATAAAAATTTGGAACTTAATTAAATCTTAACAATATTGGCCAAGTCAACATTAGTACAACAAGGGTAATATTTATTTGTATTCGATTTCACTTATTTTATAAAAGTCTACTTGTGCTCTTTCGTATATTCAGATTGATTAAAAAGAGTACTTCCAAACTACTGTTATTTTATAAATAGATAATGTGAAATATTTTTACAAACTACTCCTCGACATGATTGATTGAACAGTAATTCAAGAAGGAATGGTGCAGACATTGGCATTCCTCATTTTCATACTTTCTATAACGGTTACGATGGCTATCAAGAATAGCAACGATCCTGGATATGATATCCTGAGATTTATGGAACGGTTTCAAGCAAGTTAGTTTCGTTACTTTGGTTTTCTCTTTTGAATGCTTCTGCAGATGACATCGTTTTTCAGTTGAAAACTTTGTGTAGAACTTAAAAAAAATTTTTTTTTTGCTAGTTCAGATATAGTTCACTTATACGGCTGAAGTGGCAAACTTTATTTAGAACTGTAGATTGGTACATTCAAGGTAGTTTTTTCCATAACTGGTCCATTTTCCCGATTATTATATTCTCTATTATTTGCTATTATTTTAATTCCTTTCTTATGTTTAAATTTTAGATTTAAAAGAACCGATAAATTTATCTGAAGAAATTATTTGCAATTGCTCGTATTCTGGTTGCGGTGAAGAGATTACTCGTTTTTTGGGTAGTAATTACACAGGAATTTGTCGATCCACTAGTGGAATATGTCACAAACGTTTATTGCCCGATCGAACGGTTATCTTAAGGTTGGTGCTGATATGGTTTCAGATCTACATAACGAAAAGGAATTGCTTTTTTGTTAATTTTCTTACGACTGGTGATTTTATATCCATTTAATGAAAAATAAACGAATGATGTAGTTTAAGCGTATCGGTTTGTGGAAATTAATATTTCTATATTGTGTCCTTTTTTATTCTGTAATGACAAAGAAGTCTATTATTCCAAATTCACCAATAGAAAGAGTAAAAGCATTCTAGTTAAATAAATATAACACTTTCAGTTGCCTGAGTAAAGATGCCAGTCCTGATTTGCACTGCCGAGCCAAACAACCAATGAACGATGGAAGCATAATGCAGTGCTGCCAGAATTATTCGTTCTGCAATGGAGCTCTGGATTTCAGTCCAATGATTAATTATAGTTCGGTAGGGCGCTTTACACTCCTTTTATTAAAATTATAATTCCGATTACTGGATAGCAATGCATGTCGTAAAAATCTATTATATATTTTTGTTAGTCATAGAAAGATATAAAAATTTACATAGCTTGTTTTTGCAGATTACCAAAAAAGTAAAATATAAGGATTTTTTGGAAATTAGTATATTAGTTTTTTAGCGTTACTATGAGTTTTCCTCTTTAATTTTTTCATTTTCTGCAATTTCAGGACAATAGCATACCATTAATTCGTTATCTGATTATCTTTATGATAGGAACTGCCGTTTTTGCATTTTCTATATTCTTAGCTTTTGCTTGGATAAACAAACCATTGAAGCGATGGATATTTTACTGGGCATATCGTGGTTCTGGCGGAGAGCACTCTGAAGTGTAAGTAATCATGTAGTTCAGTGATATGTTTCTATACTGAAATGTATTGTTCAAATCATTAGGACAGTTCGATCTTCCAGTGAAGCTCAATTTTATAACGGTTTTTTCCCTTTTTTCAGAATTTTTTCAGTTGAAGTCGTGCTAGTTGAAATTAGGACCGTCTGTTGTCAGCATCAGACACAGCACTTTAATGTTAATTTATCGGAAGTCCTTTCGAATATATTTTATCCTACTTCAATAATAATTAAAATAATTAAATTATAAAAATTATTTTACTTTATCGATGCTTATCAAAAATTGTGTAATGATATTGTTTCAAGTACTGGAGAAGAAAAACTACTAATGAACTCAACGGATGCCTTAGGACACTTGAGCGATTTACTGTATAATTTAGATGATTCTGCTACTACCGGCTCTGGTTCAGGTACATCTTTCATTACTAATTATCAAATTAAATTGAATTAGATCTGGCGATTGAAACTACAAATTTATGGAACATTTGGTTGGAATAATGAGGAAAGTAGATAGAGAAGAGCATCTTGTTAGTTAATTTAAACAAAATTTAAACAAACAAAAGAATAATACAAAAGAATAAATTTAAACAAAAGAATAATACAGGTAAATGGCACAATAACTTATTGTGTTATCCTGTTTAAATTAACTACAATAATAATTTCAAAAAAAAACAAAAAACAAAAAAAACAATACAATAATAATTTACACTGTTGAGTCAAGGTTTCAGGGTTTCCATTACTTGCTCAACGTACTATCGCTCGTCAAATCGAGCTGCAGAAAGAAATTGGGCAAGGACGTTTCGGAGAAGTAAATTTCTTGTTATTTTGAATAAAATATGTCTTTGGCATTTCAGCTTAATGCATTATACTTTAATACACTTTTGCAACTCCGCGTTGCAGGTTTGGTTGGGATATTGGAAAGGTGATGAAGTTGCTGTAAAGATATTTAGTTCACGTGATGAAAGATCATGGAATCGAGAAGTCGAAATTTTCCAAACAAATCTTCTCCGACACCCCAATTTGCTGCGCTTTATTGCGTCTGATAATAAAGGTATTGAATCGTTATGGTATTGGTCATATTTCTTCATATTTCTTTGGCTGGTGTATGATTTCTTTTGAGTTAATTATTGTACGAAACGCTTATATGTTCTACCAGGATTCAACATGTCTAATTGATGCTCGATCTGCTTCGTAATATTTTGTTCAGGTTCTGCAGAAACCATACATACAAGCCAGTACAATTTTTTCTAAAGTTGCAGTAACTGGGAGAAATTTAACTAAAGAATTTATAGGCGCCAAAATCTGTGAATGCACATTTACTATCGCTTATAAATTTTTTTGGCTCTTTCAAATTATTTTTGTTAAGTTTCAGAAAAATTTAAAAAAGTTCCAAAAACATTTTTGTATTGTGTTTTGTTTAGCGAATATTTATGGCTTCGGGAAAATCTGCAAAGGCTGTTTTTCTCCATTATGTTCTGGGAACATAGTATAATACGTGTTGATCTATTAGACTTGCTGAATTCCGAGGGACATATTTTTCAGTGCTACAGTGAAGCAAAAGGTTCGATTGATGTTAGTCGAACATCTGTTTAAGCGAAATAATTCCTCCACTAACATTTTAAGGCTCATGAGGAAAGTTTTCGTGTGTTTGTTCTCAACATGTATTCATACCAACAGTGAAAACTTGCGAAAATTTTTTTTTTATGTGGGTAGCTGAATGGCATACGTTTTACAGATACTGGAACGAGTACTCAGCTGTGGTTAATAACTGAATACCATGAACATGGTTCTCTTTATGATTATTTGTCTGCAAATATTGTCAGTGAACAAGTGATGCTGCAAATGATTCGCAGTATTGCAGTTGGCTTATCTTTCTTGCACAGTGAAATTCCTGGTCCACGTGGCAAGTTTTTTAAAAGTGATAGTTGCAATAATGCAGCAGTTCCAACAGAAGATTACTTGATGATTGCAGGGAAGCCGGCAATTGCCCATCGTGATCTAAAATCGAAGAACATCTTGGTGAAATCGGATCTGATTTGTGTGATTGCTGACCTCGGTTTGGCAGTGCGATACATGAATGGTGAGATAAATATTCCAGACAACAGCAAGTGTGGCACTGTCGTAAGTTTCACTTTTTTAATATAATGGAAGTATTACCCAACAGAAAAAGTTACATATACTTCAATATTCCTTTACAGTTGTTAAAATTTGGCCTTAATTTTTAAAAAGAAATACCTTTCGTTTGCTATTTCTAATGTACCTTAAATAGTAAAAAAGAGGAACTTTGTTATTGAGAAAAACAAGACTGGTTTCATTCTCGCTGCAGGCAAGTAAGCTTCCAGTAGTACTTTTTCGCAAGCTTTTAAAAGGTAATAATTGTAACGTATGACATTCTAACAGGAATATTTCTTGGTGTTTTTTCCATGATATTATGGTAAGATAGTACGACATGTGGCAAGTAATATCTCCGTTAGGATAATAGAATATTTATTGTTTTAGAATTATATTAAATCAATATAGTTGTTTCTGAAAGCTTATCTTCGTAAAAGAAATTGTTTTTACTGCTATTCGATAGTTGTTTTTAATTTATCATTGATTTGTTAATGTCATTATAGCGTTACCTGGCACCAGAGATATTGGACGATAGTTTCCCGATAAGTCATTTCGAAGCCTATAAAACTGCTGATATGTATGCGATGGGTCTTATCATTTGGGAGATTATGTGGAGATGCGGAAACCAAGGTAAGGCTATACAGCTCCATTCATGAATCCACATGCATTGAACCATGAATATCTTTTGATACTGATCTGTCTGCAACCAGTGATTTCGCGAAAGTCTTGCTTTTCGCGGAGTTTGCTTACTAATCTGAAGTCAATAATTTTTGCAGAAAAATCAAGACCATTTGAACTACCATACTTTGACTGTGTGGGCCGAGATCCAACAATGGAGGAGATGAAATTGTGTGTTTGTGTACAGAAGCGACGACCTACTATTCAAGAGCATTGGATTGGTGACAAGGTTGTAATTCCATGTTTTCCCTTCGTTTATACTTCTTTCACACCAGGATTTTTTATTATATAGCTAGCTTCTTAGACTACAGCTGCCGATTGATGAATTTTCACATCGAAAAAGTGCTTTTTTTGATTAGAAAATAATCCAAGCGCAATGTTTGCCGAAGTTTGGAAGATATTGTATGTCATAGAGATTCTACGATATCGTCATAATTTCGAAGTATTTTAAGGTAATGGGAGGAGTGTTGCAAATGATGCAGGAATGCTGGACGGGGTCACCAGTTTGTCGGCTTACGGCAATGAATGTCCGTAAAGCAGTGGACCGTCAAGCAGCTAGCTTAGGTTGGAAAATTCGAAGTTAGCTGAGAAGATGCCATCACAAATTGTCGGAACATCCCGTTGGAGGAGAGAGATCATCAATTTGTTTTCTGTTTTTTTTTTTTGCTTGTTTAGGGGATGTTTGAATTAAGATTGTAGCGCATACAGTTAACAGGAACATTAACACAATGTGTTACGGAATTTAAATGCGGAATTGTTTTTGAAACTGATACGATTAAGAAATTTTGTGTCAATCTTTCTTCAGCTATTTCAGAATGTAATTAATTTTACGCTTAGATATTGTGTTAATGAAAGCCCCATTGCATTGTTTTTTTTTTCGCAATTTAACTGTTTCCCGTATACGTCGTGCTTTTCAAATGCCAATGCTGTATTAGCAGCTGAAATGCTTTCTATCGAGAGAAAAGTAGAATCACTAATCAAGAATTTCTTTATAGCACTGAATGCTCATACTATGGGGTTCCTTCCTCTTGTTTATCATTTATCTGCTTATAAAGTTCATACGTGTACATTCTTTATTCTCCTATATCCTTAAAAGTTTAATATAAACAGCAACAAAACATATGTTGAATGAAACAGTTGGATTGTTAAAGTATTGCGGGTCCGCCGCGATATTTTATTTTGGAAGCTTTTTTAGATAAATCTATCAAATCGATCATCAGTTTTTGTTTTAAAGAATTCCCAAAGATGCAGGGATTTGGCCAATTTCATTTCAAGATATAAAAAGATGTGGTATTTGAAGAGAAGCTGAAGGCTACTGGTTCTTTATCTTATCAGATTTAGGGAAATAATTGGATATAAAGTACTGGATAAAAAGTACGGCGAAAGTGACGTATAGCAATGCGCCGAAAAGTAGATTCTGCATTGATTGTTGGCACCTGAAATTAATTCCATCACTGAAATCCTCTTAAACATTACCTTTTAATTAATCTAATTAGTGAATATTTACTTCGGCTACGTATACTATTAACATTGTATTTGCAAAGCAGCAGCTTATGTAACTGCCGAAAAGTTGCTTCCTCAGAAAAGAATATGGAAAATGCTATGGACCAATGGAAAATTCATAACCAGTGATCTTTACAAGCACCCAGAACAGGATGAACATATAACAAATGAATACTTACGGCAAATTGGTTCCAGTTTTAATATGATAGACGTAGGCTAAAACGCTGATTCCCGCGAACATCTGAACTGTCTGCAACATTGTCAGTGCCATGGATACTATCCTGAAATGTGCGTTATGAAGTGTGTGAAACTTTGAAGTTCAAATTATCTCGGAGGACTTTCAAGTAAACTGAGTGCGAAAAGTAGTGTAAAAGTTAGTATATCCAAGAAGAATTCCAGGCATACCCCAATAAAAACATTCCTCATATTTAGTTAATCCTTACTTAGGCGGTCGTATTCCATAAGATGCAACTGCGAAGTATGTGTACATGACGGAATGTACTAGAAAATTCGCAACAATAAACGCTTTTCCGGAGCCCGTATTTTCAGCACCTATAATTCAGGTGTTATAAAATTATTGGTGCCATAGAGGGCGATTTTTTTCAACTTGCATTAATAGCAAATCAGTGCTTAAACTATGGAAAAATTCTTAGAGCTTAAAATCTTCCTGTCCTGTTAGATGACTAACAATCTGATATGATTACCTACCCGAATGAGCAGTGTAAATAAGTACTGAAGCATGATGATAATAATGTAAGAAAAAGAGAGGTTTTTTTCTGAGGACAATAAATAATGTATCGCCGAGTTCCACAATTTTCGACAAGAAAAATAAATATGACCAATAAGCTGCGACACCAGTGGGATTTACCGAATAGCACAAGGATCGATAAATTCCTTCGTATGGTACAGAGTGGATTACTTCCTAGAAGTATGATGAGGGAAAGTGTTATTGTCGATTGAGATGTGCACAGGCAACAATTAATAACCGCTATCAATAGGTAGTAGTAGCTAGTAGTATTATAAAGTGTGCAAAAAGTTACGATACGATGCTTCATTAGAATATTTGAGCGAAAAATGATAATAACTTGCTTCACTAAAGCGAATGAAGCCAAAAATGTTGAAGAGAGCAAGTGAAAGATTCCAAATGAATAAAGGCCAACGTAGTTTGAAGGCAGATCGATGTTTCATGAAGTGTTGGATCAATTTGATGATGAAGAAATAGCATATTGAAACACTGATCGTTTGACTCCAATTTTTTTGAAACAATATCGTTTTCTCAATTGGATCAGTCAATTTTTCAAATGGTAATACATACCTGTAATTAAAGAGAAAAAGAATGGAATAATCCGTGTCTTTTGGGACTATTAATAAGTTTTCCTCATAAATTTACAACTTGTGTAGGAGATAATTTTTTTTCTTGAATGATTTTTCAATAGTGGATAATTTTCTCGCACTGTTCAGTAACGAGATGATGGGATATGATACCATTCGGTGCAAAGATCACAATTATGTCTAAAATATTACTGAGCTTATCCACAAATCAAATCAGATAGACTATTTCCACTATGAAATATTGTATAATATAATTAAGTGTAAAGATGGATTTAAGAACTACTCCTACTAATAAGAGGTTTGAAAAGAGCACGAATGAATTTGACGAAGAAATCCTTCATGTTTTACTGGCGAAAAAGTTTTACTCGCATGCTTTAAATTTGTCGATAGTAGGATTTTTTTTCCCATAACTTGTAATTTTTTAGATATACCTTAAAAAACAACGATGGAACTACAGACATGCCTGACAGAATCTTTGAAAGTAAAAAATATATAAGTACCGGTATTTGTAGGTGATATGAAGACTGGATAAATTATCCTTATACAATTCAAAATTATTCAATGCAAACATTCTGCAATCAGTGATGTAATAATGGAGCACAAATTGCAATTAGACAATGATGACGATTCAAAGTGAATTTTCGTCTCTTCTGCTCCATGTAACTTCATCATACTTCGAATTCCTCATAAAAGCTGGAAAAATACATTAGAAGGAATTTTTTTCTTTTTTTTTAGGAGTTATTTGTTTCAACTTGCTACTTTTCTTTCCTTTTTTTCGTCGAATAATTGATACGGAACAACTAAATCAGTGAATACGAGAAAATTATACTGAAGAGGAATCTGATTGGACGTTATAAATGAAATGTTCATTCGTTCTTCAATATTTAGAATACAATTCAAAAATTAATCCTTAAAGCAAGGGTTGGAATTTCATTCAAAAACTATACATGTTAAAGATGACAAATTAGGTTACAGTGACAGCATTTATTCGATAAAATAGCTAATCTGTTAATCATAATATAATTTTGTCGATGATGAAAATTTGAATTAGAAAGATAATAGAATGAATTGAGAAAGTTTGCGAAATTGAATTCTATCGAAAAGTGGGATAACATTACAGAGAATGTCTGCTGTTTTCAATCACAAAATTTTATATAACAGTTATTGACAATGACCTATAAACTAACAAAGTACGAAACTAACAAAGTAGGAACAGCAATAGAAAATGTATGAAATAAAGAGAAGGGGAGGAAGAGAGAGAGAGAAAAAGAACAGAAATTGAATTTGGGTCACCGTCTTAAGTGTAAAGAGATGTTTTATGAGCGATCACTATTGTATGAAATGATCATTCTTTACGATTCAAAATTTATTTCATGTAGACAGCAATGTATGAACGAACACAGTGAGAATAGGAGAAGGGAAAAATGGTTATTGTTGAGAAATTAAAAAACGGGTTATTGTTGGGTAGAATTTACTATCCTTTTTTTGTTGTATCCTATTAAATAGGTAAATTATTTTTCAAATCAATCAGCAAAAATAAAAGAATCTCTTAGTCGGAATTTTTCCAGATCTTATGTAATAGTGACTACTATTAAAAAAATCAAAGTTCATAAAGCAAATTTTCAATTTTTTGATTTACATGTTTGAAAAAATCCCGACTGATGTTTTTTTTTTATTGCGGTTAATATCTCTAAAGACATTTTTGATGTTTGACTGTTGAATGTTCTTAAGTTTCATCCTCTCACTCCATGTATCTTCTCTTCATAAGTCAATAGGGAATTCTCACTTCACTTGGAACTAATGCATAGTATTGTAGATGCTTCTAAAAATGTCACCCTTCTATTGATCCGCCTAGCTCCATTTTATATGCCTTAATCCTATTTGGACAAAGGAATGCTCTCAGATTTATCATACTACTAGGAGGAGAAGAAACAATGTTTTAAAAAAGAGTCAAGAAATATTTTCTAACAGTGATTACGAAAAGATGACATTCCGGCAGCGTTCGGTGAGGAATATTTTTCTTAATCAAGCTGTTAAATATTTTTCTTGACACTTTTATTGATTAAAAAAATTTTTAATGAATAATGAATACGTCCATTTATCGTGATTTCGTTGCCTTCGAGAATCTTTTCTAACCACACGAACGAAGAAATTTAATTAAGTCAACAAAGGCTTATGCATACAGTTATTCATATGAAAGAATAGACAGAATTACTGGCAGGAAATAAAGCAAGAGTGGAAGCAGCTTCGAGAGAATTAACCCCTGTAAATGTAATTTCGATCTTTTCATAAAAAATTTCTATATCATAAAAGAAAGAGTATGTCTTTCCTGAAGCTTTGAAGCGGACTGTGTGCTATCTTGCTTACAGTAGCCATGGTGTGGTAAAATATCTTAAGTCTATATTGTAAAATATCAGTAAACCAAAAAAGATGAAATGTCTCCATACTTGCAACCCGTATAGTCGAAAAAATATTGGTTACACCTACAATTAATTCTGACCAGTAAGTCTCATGGAAGCATAAACATGTTCAAACAGTATACCTTGCTCCAGCTCGAATAAATCCCCCACTTGAGAGCACTACTGGATACCAAATATTTTGCCCGAAGTCCGTATTGAATAACCAGGGTACTTTCTGCATCAGAATTATTCAATAAGATTATAGTGCAGACAAGAAATAAAGTACGAAAATCATGAATGATTATTAAGGAATTAAAGGAATAACAGGAAAGAGCTGTTCAACAATGAGATCCATCCGAAATAAGATAGTACAAGTTGAGGATATACCTCATAACGAGAGACCAATCTGGACGATCTTCTTTCCTGAAGTCAGCCACTTTTACCTTCACTTCTACACCCATGTCAGCACCAATACTAATAGCTAGCTCCAAGCATTCTTCTGCTTCCAGAGTAGGGATTTTCTAAAATAAATATCCTTAATGATTGATTGATTTAATGAGTCGAAATTGTTTTGGTTAATTATATTAATGTGTTTTACATCATTTTTATCGAAAGATAAAAAGTAGTCTATATAAAAATAAGAAATCAAAAAGGAAAACTAACATCTATATTCAGTTTGTCAGGATAAAAAGAAGCCAATAAGCAACATAGAGCTCTGCCATCCGCCCAACTGCTGCTAAAGTTGGTGATTTCAATATGTGGAAATTTCGCAACCGCTTCCTGACACCATCGAAGGAGAGTATTACGACGTGAACCTGAAGCATAAAACAGTTTTTTAAAAGTAACGTAACAAAAAAAATAAGGCGAAATATAAATTATTAGTCTTTCCAAGGCTTTACTATTTTCTAAAGCAGAAAAAGACAAACCACGTTCACAACCAAGCATCAATCTCTGCCAAGCTTTATCTTCCCAACTCTTAAAATTTTTTTCGTACAAGGCTACTGACGATCGTTGGGGAGCAGAAAATGCAGCACTCTGTCGTCGTCTTTGTAATTCCGTTATTCTATCCCATAGTTTTAACATCTCCTTTTGTGCTTCCATTTTAAAATCATTTGCTACTTTTACAGCAACTAGCAGGTCCTTCTGCATCTGGACCCATTCTTTACGCTCTTCCTGTAATCAGTTTACAATAGATGGGTGCACGAAACAATTAAGACATGAATAACTTGCCTCAATAATCACTTTTAAGCGGCTGTTCTCAAATGCAGCTCTTGATTCTGCAGCTTTACTACTTTCTAAAGCCAAATTCAATGCCATTTTCTCCTCGTTTAGTTCATCAACCAGTGTTTGAAGATCCTTCTTTGAAATATGGTTCGAAGATGACACTTCTTTCTGAAATATATGCAGCTCTCTTCAGCATATCACGAATCACTTCATAAATTCTTCCTCAATATGTTTCATAATTGCTCGAAAATTTTCAGTGGTTCACTCCTTTAAAGTATCAAAGGTTTGGACCAACGGTATAGTAAAATGTGAGACGAATTTCAGCAACAGCAAGTTAAATCCTCATTTGATAGCTGAGGTGACTATATAAACCTAAATCCAATGGTAATGCTGACCATTTTCCTTGTCGAACGTAAGCATTACATTAATTACATTAATTTGATTAGCATTACATAAGTAATGCTAACCAAATTTTCTTTGACAGCATGAGGTGACTACATAAATCTAAATCCAATAGTAATGCTGCCCATTTTTCTTGTCGAACGTATCACTCACGTTTCAAAAAAAACGGTGCGTTGGTTTTACCATTGGAATTAACGATTATATTAATGGCAAGAACAAGGAATAAGAATGATTCACAATCCACCTTTATTTTTATTGAATCTATACGACATTCAAATTTGGACTTACATCACGCTCCTTCGATGCGGGATTTTTTTGTTTATTGGCGGCCAAAAATTCGATTTTCTTTGCCTGTTCCTAAATATGATTAAAGCAAAGCCACTGCTTGAGTAAAAAACAGACATAAAAATGCCTACTGTAATCTGAGTAAGATAAGAGGCTGGATAAAAGCCTTAAAAATTGTTCTTTAGCGTTATCAAACAATTAAAAATACCGCATTTTCCATGCGTAAAATCTTGATCGTTCGTTTAGCATTGTTTAAAGCAACCCTCAATTCTGATAATTCTTCTTCCGCGGCTTGAAGTTCTTCAGCAGCACTAGTAAATTTCTCCTCCATATGCGAAAAAGTTTTTTTCAAGTCACTATTCCGCGTAAACTCATAACGTGACAACTCATCACTAACAGTTGAGGTAGGTCTCGCTTTCTTATGAAGTGTTCGTGTTATATCCTTGAACAAATAATTTGGTAAGTAAAAAATAACACCAAACCATGCAAGAATAATCGTATTCAATTACGGTTTGAATCTTGAAATATAAGCTCAGATGCAAATTTCTCATGTTTTCATATGATCAGTGAAGGAACAAAGCATCAGAGACTTCCATTTAATTCTAAGTGATTATCTCACAGATTCATACAAATCAATGCTACACTCAGTTCAGTAAAACAATACTTGCGTATCCAACCGATTTTCTTTTTCAGATACACTTGAATGCTGGCCAGAACTTTTCGAAGACTTCGTGCGAATGCAATTCCGATATATTCCTGCAATATCGCAAAATACATAAATTAATGCAAAGCAACAACGGAATACGCATACACATCAAATACATGGAACAACTACTACAATGTGACAGAAAAGTATAACCGCTTCCCACCAAAACACAAATTCATGTTTTCATTGCTACACATCTTTTAATCTGCAAGACAATGATTTAAAGTGTAAACGAGAACTCGGGTACTTAAAATTCATCATACCTTGATTGAATGGTCGCAGTGGTGTTGTCGCTTTCCATGGTTTTTGTGCTTCCTTCTTCGATGGAGTCGAAATAATACCACAACGACTTCTCATTTTGTCCCTATATTCGTGAATAACTCATCTCATGCAATATTACTTCCTGGAAATATTGTAAGAATCAGAAAAAGGACATCGATTATTCGCTTCGATCTTTCATGAATCCAATTTAAGAATTCACTGAAGTAGACAATTCCACTAAAAATTATCACCATCAGACAGATTTGTACTCCTCCAAACTCCTCAATTTCTCTCATCGAATGTGAGGAACTTCTCATAAGGTGTTTGGATAAACTGGTCTTCTAATTCCTTTTCCTCATCTGTCATATATAGTCTTACAAAGCAAATTTGGTAATATTGGCAATACAATGGAATAATACCGAGTGATAGAGGCGCTATAATGATGATCTTGAACTTTATTATGAAAATACGAGTGGTTATAAGGACTCGACAAAATAACCACAAGAATACATTTACGAACAACTTTCCTTCTCAGTAGTGAAATGCACCGAGAATATAAAACGAACGCTTCGTAAAAACTCTCTTATGAGTCTTTAAGAATTAAAGAAACTGGATGAGAGTATGATCCTCAAAACACAATACTGCGTCACAGAGTATACTGTACAACAGATTAATAACCTGTATAAATACATTAACTAATCAGTGCCTAAAGGTTGTCCTCATAGATCCACAGGTAGTACTCAAGAAATTAATTGTTAATTATAAAAGATAAACCGAATTGTGGCCCTTACTAAACTCTATTCCTTCGAAGACGATCATTAGCGGGAATTATATAGTTGAATTCGCACTCAAATAAATCAAGGAATGTTAAAATTCTTTCCATTTTCGTTTCCAAAGGTTCACTTGAATGAAATGGAAAAAGGAACAGAGTTTAAGGCTAAATGCTAACAAAAAGAAAAAAAACATCTACAAAACAATCACTTTCTTGAGATCCACAACCACTTAGGCATAAACAAAGAAATAAAATCCTGTTTTCAAGATGCTACTTAATAAACTAATTAAATGTTCTTTTGCTGTTGCTGTTGTTGCTGCTGATGAGTACTGGCATTCTGTTTCTTACGTCGACAAAATTTCCGATGAGTTGCCCAGTGGCTCTGCTGGCATTCTACACTGCAATAAGCTGTGTTCCAACAGCAGTGATAAATCGCTTCTGCTTCGCATTGCCAACACCTTTAATTTAAATAATTCGGTCGTAGTAAGTCGTAGTAATCCTAATCAAAAAACTGAACAGCACGAAGCATTCATCCGAAAGCTGCTTTGCACAACTTTTCTATTAAATTTTCTTAATTCAAAAAGTTCCTTTGCAATCAAAATAATTACTCAAAGTACGATGTATCTGAAGCTTTTATTCTTATCATTCGATTTGAAACTAAAAAGATTAATAGTACATTATCTCGGCAGTCATATTTTATCAATAAAACACAAAGAGAAGAAAACCAACCACTGTTTTTTTTTGATACTTGATATTTCCTTTCTATGTTTCTCAGCCATTTTGCCCAATTCAACTTTTAAAGATTCGCGATATTTCTCCTCCAGTTCAGCTCTGCAGCAAGAAATTGCAATTTCACTCAAAAAAGTAAACACATTTACTGAGAACAAGAGATTCGGGTCAAGATTACTAACCTCGTGGTATCCAGCTCGTCTTTGAACTGCGTCAGAAGTTCAGTCCTAATCTTTTGCTGATCAGAAAGAAATTCCTGATGAAGCTGAAAAACATAAATTTACAAGTAAATTATTTTTCAAGTTTTTTTCTACCACCGTCAGTTATTTAATCTCTTAAATAAGAGACAAAATAATCTTAAGTTTCACATCCAAAAAAAACAAGCTACGTCACTGTGAGATAACTGAAGAATCTACGCCCAAGATTCCTAATATTATAAGTACGGTAGTCGATATTGTAGAGTCGCTTGCTGGAACACTATATATGGATAGATTTTATTGCAATAGATCGGAATAAGAATTACCCGTTCAGTCATTTCAACTAATAATTTCTCCCTGGATTGCTGATAATCTGTAAGCCAGTGTCTTTGCAAGTCCATAATCATTCGCTTCATGCGATCATCTAACACCCAGTGATCATCATGCATTTCGCCTTCCGCTTCCACAACCATCATACCCTCTTCAACCGCATGATGGTTTCTCCCATCTTTAGGCACGTCCTTCCCATCACCCATCATTTTGGATCTAAAAAAAATTAAAACTACAAGTAGTAAAACCTCTGTACAAATAATGCAAATTATTAAGGGCACATCGTATATAACGATATATTTTGCAAAAAGAAAAAAAAATACTTGACAAATTTGTTTCCCAAACCATACTATAGTGCATCAATATTATATAATTGTAAAATAGCGGATAGCGTAAGACTATATGATATATGTTCAAGAGGTATCAGAAGAATGAACGTTTTTCAATAGATTTTTCAATAGGAATAAACCAGAGACAACGATTTGCTTTTTCAGAGACGGGACCACTCGAACTTTTGGCTACATCACTGGTGCATGGCCATTCTCTAAGATGATGAAGCGCTCCTAGTACTACTTCAATGAATCCAATTAAACAACAAGCCGACTAATCAATATTTTATAGTCCATGTAGAGCTTCTCATTCTTCCTAAGTATCTCATTGTCTATTCCTTCCACAGCTAATAAACCCAGCAAATAAATCACTGCATTACTAAATAATGTAAAACGCAAACTACGTAAGCTTCCCTCTCCCACTCTCCCGTCGTGCGAGCCGTAACCGCATTTTCATATGTTCCTTTCTTTGTTCATTCGAAATTACGTCCCCGTGACTTATTGAAACCAATACAGGAATGAAAATTTGCTTCCGTTGGATATGTTATTCTATGGTAGTAGTGAAGTTTGTGGATTGATATCGAAAATGTAAAACTATATAGATTCGGAAAATGTAAGACTATATAGGTAGATACTGCGATACTACTGTTTTCACGTAAGACACCGCATAGTCTCTTTTGCTGCAAAATTATGCCTTTCAGGTAAAACTTACGTAACATCATTAACTATCTGATTGGCAGATAAAGGAAGTCTTTAATATGTTTATGGTTTGCCATGAAAGATCTGAAGAAGAGCTCTTCTTCCAATTTTATTCTTGTGAATGGATATTCATTATTTATAGAAGGGAAAGTAAATATTCATGTGATAAGTGACTCATTTATTGAAGATGATAAAGGAAATATGACGAGAAAAATAATAATTTGGTACAGCATTGGATTCTAGTAAATTGCGAGTCTGATGGGGAATGCGCTGTGTTGTCTGCAGGATTCCTCAGCTGCTGCAAGAAGCAAAGAGGTGATGTGTGATGTAAGGCAGCAAGCCAATAATCATGAGGCTAGTTTCTTTAGTATGCAGTGCTGTTACGATATGACCAAAAATAGATTCAACTCAATAGCATAATTTCATGTTACTCTTTTCTTATCATAAGCCAAATTTCAAATTTCAGAACTGTTTATTCATTCTACGTATCTTTCGATAACAATATGATAAAATGTAGATTTTTGATTTTGGGTAAAACTGATAATATGATAGCTGTCGATTTTGTTTATTAAATGTTTTCTTGCTTCGTGTTTGCCTTGAAGAAGGGTTTTTTTTTACTAACAAATTGGGAATAAAAAGTACTCTTTTAGTATGTGAACCAGACATTTCCGAGAGAAGATGCTTCAAACAATTTTCTTCCTCATATTAGTGAAAGGGAGCTGCCCGATGGTAAGTGAATACTTCTTCTAAAACTAATTTTTGGACAAGTTATACTCCTTTTTTAAGATTGATAAAAATTGATTTTAAGAGATTGGTGAAGACCCATCAACGCAGCCAATGGTTAAGCCAATATTTATGGAACGAAGCCGAAGTGAAGTGAAATGTTAGTTCGTAGTACTATTATAGTTGCTGTTTGTTTTTAAGTCTTATATAAAATTCTTAAAGTTAGCTTTGATCATCAGAGCTTTGGATGTTTTTGTTTCTTATTAAAAGATTCGATTTTGGCTTTTACAGGAGAAATATATTGCCACTGATGGCTCAGTTATTTATTTGAGGTTTTACTTTTTATTTGCAGTGGATTCTTTTGTTGATTCTCCTATCTGTTCCCGAATACAGAAAACTTTATTATAACTTATTTCATATGAATCATACTGATATGTAAAATGAATCTTAATTTCTTAAATAATCACCGAGTTGATTAATGTCACTTTATCACTTAGAAAGTCAAATGATAACAAGGTTATTGGAGGCATCGTAATTAACATTTCAAAAACTGGCTCGAATTTGTTGATAAGTGAAGTTCTGTCAGTTCTGAAGTGTGCATGGTTATAATCTTAAGGGTTTAGTGAAGGATAATCGTCGTTCGTTCTATGTGTTGGATACGCAGAGCTTGACCACTATCATGTCGCCGTTACAAAAGTCGAATAGCTGTTCGACGATATTTCTTGACGACTCTACCATTTCGCAGCCAAACTTGAAAAATACGATCAAGTGCATTTCGTTAGCTATTTATTATCATATTGCGAATCGAAAAAATCGTGCTCATGAGAGGCTGATGGAAATTTTTGAAGAACGACTACATCCAATCACGGTAGGATATTCTTTCTCATTTGTTATCAGGTGAGGATGTTCTCAAAACTAAGTATATGTGAACTGTGCTAAAAATATGACGTAAGAGCTTGATTTTGGTTCATATCTTGCCACTCTGAAGAGCTATTTAGATATCATGATATTATGAAATTAACTTAAGCTTCTTGCTGCTATAGAACGGTAGCAATAAGGGACATCCATACTTAATCTGGAATAATGTTCATTTCATATTCACGCGTTTTTTGACATCTCTATTGCTCTATTACAATTGTAGGAAAACCATAAGTGCGTTATGGCATACTTTTTTGAATGATTCTTAAGGCATAGTAATTTCAGAGAGATTCGATTCCAATCGAAATGATGTCGAGGGATCCAGATCATCGGCAGATATATCGTTTTATCAGGACTCTTTTTCATGCTGCCCAGTTAACAGCAGAGTGCGCAATAATCACTTTGGTACGTACTTCGTTCAGTATTTCATACTTGACGGGATTTTGCTTAAGCATAAGTAAATAATGAATTAAATTTTTTTATCCACTTTATTGTCAGGTATATGTGGAACGATTGTTGAATTACGCTGAAATGGATTTATGCCCGTCAAATTGGCGGCGAGTAGTATTAGGAGCTATTATGCTTGCATCAAAAGTATGGGATGATCAGGCTGTTTGGAATATTGATTATTGCCAAATTTTGAAAGATACCAATGTTGATGACATGTAAGTTTTATAGTATGTCCTTAATACAAGTATATATGTATCTTTGTTGCTTTAATTTAGAAATGAAATTTTTTTGCAGGAATGAACTGGAGAGACAGTTTTTAGAATGCCTAGAGTTCAACATTAATGTTCCAAGTTCTGTTTATGCCAAATATTATTACGAATTAAGAACACTGGCTATGGCCAACGATTTACAGTTACCATTGCAACCATTATATAAGGAACGGGCGAGGAAGCTAGAGGTTTCAATTTGCTTCACTGTGCTACTACGTACCATGCATTTGACAGTGCGTATGGAGGCAATACTTTGGTAGATTAAATATGATCTAGGAGTCTTAGGAAATGATATACTACTATGTCTGATTTGAAATTTCACTGTATCCGAAAACATGTTGCATTGAACAGTCGAGCATCATAATGAATAGTAACTGTTTATGTGAGTGGACAAACTGGCCCAGAATCATTTTAGTTTGAAAAATGTTAGTAAGTATGGATTATTTTTTACCAATTTTTTGTAGGCGCTTAGCCGTATCTACGAGGACAAACTGCAACCCGATTTACGAATTACACATCGAAAAAGCTTTTCGGCTGAGAAGTTATTAATCAAGGAATATCATACTCCAGTCGTCATATCCTAATGTTTATTTATTCTCCCAAAGCATTCTATGTGGGGTATTCTGAAGAACTTTAGAATGTAATTCTAAATGAAAATCCTTTAGAAGATTTGTGACATAGAGGAAAACTTGCTATAGTTTTGCTATAAATGCAGTTGTTTTTTCCTTGTTTGCGCATAACATTTGATGGTTGCAAGCAATGGTAACAATTCAGTACTTCATATATCAGTATGTGTGTAATGGATGATGTTGTGATTTTGTTCCCTTTAGTTGTTTTTGCAGGAGGCAAATGCCATTCCATGGTTTCGTTAATTTCTATCCTTTTAGGAATTATTTTGTTATAACTTCATTTTGTATCCTAATAATCCATAATGACTACATGTAATATGGAGCTGACAATCACTGCCAGAACAACTAAGCGACCTCCTATTCCTTCTGTGATGCGTTGCACAATTTTCGTCATGTTCTATTTATTAGATGTGTATTTAACTTTTATCGTTATTATCTCTATATTTATTCATTATTTTGTTTTTTCATGTAAGATAGGCCAAAATTCACAGATTGAATGGTGCGCATGTTGTTTTTATTAGTACTCTAATTTTCTGCCGGTCGATTCTAATGAATTATCTATATATGTGGAATCATGAAATAAAAAATTTTTTTGCTACTGTTTGCTTAATGTATGTATTCCGTGCCGAGCGATATTTATGTGATATTGTAATAATAATCCATTCAGATATTTCTCAATTTTATGCTAGAGTTCAGGTAGATTTTTGGAGTCATGGATTCTAACTGCCATTGTGCAAATGAAACAGTTAATTTTGAGCAAAAAAACGAAGGGATGCATTACGCGATGTACTCTCACATTGACCTACAAAAGGTTTTGATTCTTTATTGTAAAATTCTGCAGTGATATAATGATATAAGAGTAGTCATCTTTCAAGTTTTGGTATTTATCACACTTGAATGTAAATAAGAGCATTTATTCCTCGTTTTAAATAATACCAAAAGATATGTTGCAGGTAGTAGTACTGAATGAAGCAGTTGAAGGTTCTGGTGCAAAGATTTTCAAGAAATGGGAGGATCGATTGGACAGGTGAATTTGTGGCAGAATGTCTATATCGGAAAATGGAATTCTACGTTTGTTATAATGAACAGAAATATTGTTGTGTGGGTTACAGTAAGGCTATCAGCTAAAAAAGTAGTTCTTAGAAAACTTTCAGGGCTGTTCATGTAGAAAGTGATGTTGATGAGGAGCTACTATTCAATGTACCGTTCAAAGGGCATGTAAAAATAACTGGTCTTGTACTGGCTGGCGATTTAGATGGTACTCATCCATCATACATGCGACTCTACAAAGATCGACCATCAGTAAATTTATTCTGAGTATTGTCTTTCTTCAAAGTTTTGTACTGGAAGCTGTTGGAACATGGAACATATTAAAAGCTTGGTCAAATCAAAGATGACGCAATAGGCGAAGCTTTCGATAAAGTATCAAAATTGTTAGGGCTCATATATCGGCATGGTCCAATTATTGCAAAAAATGTAAAGAAAAGAAATCCGAATCCATTTCGTCTTCCAGTGCCGCTTTGTTCCTAGAGATGAAAAAGGAGATATGGTTTTTTTGATGTTCACTTTCTTATTTATCAAAATTGAGTACAATACTGTTTTCGGGCATGTGGTACTTTTTAGATGTCATTTGAAGCGACGGCCTTAGAAGCTGATCAAGAATTTTCACTAAAACAGGACGCTAGTGCACAGATAGATTATCCTATGAAGGCCTCAAAATTCTCAAATGTAACGCATCTCAGCTTGCATTTCCCAACTAATTTTGGCGAAAACAAAACTCGGATTTACTATATCGGTTTGCGTGGTGAGTATATTGCGGATGTAAGGCAACAGGTAGGCTGTGAAACATCGACTTTCATTCTATTATTGAGTCTTAAACAAATCGCTCTGGAATAACTTTTCTTTATGAGGAATGTTTTACTAATGAAAGTAGTGCAAGTTCACACCGAATTCACTGCTCATGGACGTAATGAAAAAGATGATTTTAAATGATTTTTAATGATTTTAAACATTAAATTATTTTGTTTAATTTTTTTGATTAACATTTAGTGAATATCGTATTTGTTTATGTTCCTGTGAAATTTAGTAGCATGAAACGGTTTTTACAGATATGCATTACAACATACGAGGCTAGGCCGATGCTTAAAGATCATAAAGGAGAGATTCCAGATGTTATACAAAGAAGTGTTATGTGATTCAATTTTTCTTTTGAAAAATATAGTTAACTTCTGCACAAATAATTTTAGAGCATCTGTACAACATAATGTACATAGCACAATGCGAATGTTTTTTTGTTGAGAATAAAATTATTCAAGTAAAATATTTCTAAAAACTCCATGAAAGTAAATGGAGATAAAAATATTTGATCGATAGCCTTAATATTGAAAACGTAGAATATTTTTTTTGCTAGCCTATCTCTCCTCCGGAATGAATCGTAGTTTGATAGTTGGCCTTTTCTGACATATCCCGAAGAGTGTTTGGTAACACTGTCCTGAGAAGTCAATGCGCGTTTCTTCAGATTAGAAAACAAAGAAATTCTTCTAAAAGGTCGGCGAATGAAATAAAATCAGTTAAGCACGATTTGAATTACAAAAGCAAATTGTTTTGCAATTCCCGAAACTTTGAAGTTATTAAGTGGTTCGGGGGGACATTGGCTATTTTTTATGCATACTAGCGACTTCGATAGAAGTTAAGAGTGTAGGAAAGAGATTTTTTGATGAGATTTCAGGGACATTTCTGTCTGAAAATGACGAGGATCGTCAAGTTTTCTACTCAACGAAATATTCATGAAAGTAGTAAATAGATGATGGTTCGTGAAGTTTAAGGATTTATTCCTTCATGAAAGCTATGACTAATTTCATGAGTGTCCTCACAATCGCATTCAAATCTCAAAAGTTTCAAAAATATCGATAAGCTCAACCGTTTTGCTGTAACTTTTAGATATATAAGGAAACAGAACAAAATGCCAAGCACCGATCCCAATAAATGCTAGCAGTATCAAGTAATTTTTCTGTAGGTTCCTGTCTTGTAACGGCAGTTTCAAATATGTGTAGAAACTTCCACTTTATTGTATACAAACTCTTGAGACTCATCTCAAAGAATTCCCCGTTTTTGTCACGCTGCCCATCGCACATACAGAACTTAATAAAAAAGTTCGTGTTAGACTGTTTCATTTAAGGGCCGTAATATATTTTAATCACCGTTTGGTATTGGTTTTTGTGTTTGGTGGAAGTTTGTATGGTGTGTGCTATTTCGTCATTGATTCGTCGAGAACGTAATGGACAGATTGACGTGGTACCAGCCAGGAGAATATATGGAAGATATAATCATCCAAAGTGGTCACGTGGGCATATACGATGGAGACGTGAAACAGGTGAATCATTAAATCCTTCTGTGTATTTTCCATTTATCTCTTGGAAAAAATAAATTATAAAAATTGGATAATTTTAGACAACGTATGAGCAGGGAACTGCTTCCCTTACATTGCATCGTATTATCTGGGCTGATTCCAATGATCCGGTGAGCATTTTTGTTTTCATTCGTTCTGTTTTTTTGTACCATATCCATTAAATTAGCTAGTAGTCTTACACATTACTTTAACTTCGATCTTCGATATTTGGTGCGAATTTATGTCTCCAGGGAGTGCATGAGATTTACCGTAGTTCATTTCTTTAGGGCCGCTCTATTGAGAAACATATACTTTTTACTTCCAGAAGATATCTATTTCCAAAGTTGCGTTTAATTTTTTTACAGGACCATCGACTAATTTTGCATCACTCTTTGGTAGCTGGTATTGAGAAGCACCATAAGTCTATGTTCCGTCGAGGTGGCAAAATCATCCTTTCACTTCATCCTAAACCACCTGGGCAACAGCGAGGCCCCTTCGCCTCTTCTTCTTTTAATTGTATTCGCCTTGTTTTTCGAAATGGTGGAGAAGATGAGGTGAATATCCTATGTTTTTTATTTGTCCGCGTATGTCTGCCCTAGCGTCTGCAAATTAATTTCAGGAATATGCTGTCCAGTGTGCCTTACCCTTTCATGGGGTGGTTTTGATAGTTGTGAAGAGTAGTTGTCAGTTTTTAAAACCCTTTGTGTTATTGGAATTTAGAAAATTTTTTCAGATTTCCTTAAAGCATCTTCTATCGTATTTTAATTAAAGCAATGAGACATCAAAGTCTCTTGAACATAACAGAACTTACTAGGTACTTTCTTTTTATCTAGATTTTTGTTTGACCTGCTACATTTCATGTCGTGATTTTAATTTACAGTTTTTTGAAAAATACAAGGAAGCGTTGGGAATGAATGCATGGGAACGATTACCTTCTGGATGTCCAATGTCAAATTCTGTCGCTGTATGCCTTAATGTTTCCTTGATTTCGTCCTTTGAATGAAATTACTCTGCCACAGTTAGAAGTGTGCTTAGTTAGAAATGTACTGCTTCTGAGTAGTAATGATTTGTAAATAAACGAAAATGATTTCGTTTTGCGACTTATGGCTAATATTTTACTTATTTCAGTTACGCAACTGTAACACTTCGTCGTCACGAGCCGTAGGTATCTCAGGCATCGAGAAAAGACTTGCTGAGAACCATCATCATACCCATGAAAGCATAAGCCAGGTACTATACTATGCCTATTGCATAATAAGGGCGATAAGATATAATTATGATAGTGTCTTTTTTGAGAATAAACGAAATTTATTTTAGGCTTTTGAAGATATGAATCGATTGATGGAATATGCGCGAGAGATGGTATCACTTTCGAAGGCCATCACCGATAAGTTGCGAGCAAAGAAAGGAGAAATAACTGACGATGAAGTGAGTGATCCTCATCCTCTTGTTTTGAAGGTCATTATATCTGAATGCTATTCTCAATTTCAGACTGTACGTTTCAAGACCTATCTGCTTAGTCTGGGCGTTAGCGACCCAGTGACGAAATCAGCATTTGGTAGCAGTGCTGAGTATTACAAAAAACTTGCGGAAGAGTTGGCTGTGGTGTTATGTGCCCCTCTTAAGGTTTGATCATTCAAGTTTTTGATGCAGACAGCACATTGTCGTTTTAAATGCATTCATCATATTATGGTAATGGGTGTATACGGTCTAGGAATGCGGTGGCATGATGACTTTATCAGACGTATATTGTCGTATTAACAGAGCTCGTGGTTTAGAGCTCTTGTCACCAGAAGACATTTTGAATGCATGTCACATGTTGGAACAGCTGGATTTACCCATATCGTAAGTTAATTATTACTTAAGTTGGTTAGTTATTAAGTTGGTCCTTTATTGGTCTGCAACCCTTCTTAATTAAGCTTCTATAAAAACAGTCATAGTTGATTTTGGATAAAACGAAAAAAAAATACTGAAGTATCATATTTTTGCTTGTTATTAAAGACACAGTAATTGTTTCAGAATATTTAGCTATTAATAATATAAAATTTGTCACACGGGGAGCAAAATTTTTTTTTGGGAAGAAGAGAAATGATTCGAAAAGTTGGAAAAATTCATTACAGATTGAATTGCTTTAAAAGTGGTGTCATGGTTGTACAGCTAAAAGAGATGAGTGTAGAGACCACCATCGAGGGCACTGTGGAGTTAGTAGCGGCTATGGGCGCATGTAATGCCACTAAGCTTGCTAAGTGTCTCGGCATCACAATTATCCTTGCAAAAGAGAGGTAAGATCTTTTTCATTACGCTTGGGATGCTGAATTTAAAAGTAATGGATTGTTCATATAAATGGACAGTATTTTTTTTAAAATTAATATCGTTCTTTTCATTACTTATAATTGGTAATCAAGAGAACTAGAAGTGTCCGGATATATATTATTGTAAAGATCTTCGCGTTTCCGTATTTAGAGTTAGCGTCACGGTATGCAAAAAAAATTTATACGTAATGCAAAATAATTGCAAGTGCTCATTTTGCTAGAAAATTGTGCGTAGATACTCATTCATTAAAAAAATTATAAAAAAATTACGCAGATGTTTTGCACTCTAATTTGCAAACTCATCATATTTTTAAGATTGCTTGCTGCGGAAGCTCAGGCAAAACTTTGTCGTGATGATACCGTCGAAGGTCTTGCATTCTATCCAAATCGTTTCTTGACTTCTTGCTGACATCTCTACATAATTTTGTTGAAGATATAGCTTCTTTGTTCTGACTTTCCTATTTTTAGATGAATCAGAAGTTTCCAAGTGGTGTTCTATGTTTTCATGTTATTTTTGGATCTCAGCTGTTTTAATGTTACGCAAACATCAATTATTTCCTTATTTTCTTACTTTTATTCGTGCTGGAAATGTTTTATGAATTGATGTAGTCCTTTTGAACATGAGCTGTTTTCTTTTGCATTGAAGGTTGACATCTAGTCTTGTAGTTGTTTCAAACTTTGTAATTTATTTGTCGTTGTTTATCTTTAGGTCAATCAGAATATATTGTTTATTGTTGTTATCTCTAAAAATTTTTTTTAAATACTATGTTTTGCATATAAGTGTTAGAATAATGCAGTTTGTTTTGATAGATCGTTTATATGTATATAATGTGTTATTTTATTCTTATACATATTGTGATTTTGGAAATTTTTTTGACTTTCTACATGATTTGATTTTATTCGTAATAGATGCACTATCTTTCTCTTTGCTTTTAATAACTATAAATAACTTTTGAAAATATTCAGAAGTATGAAAGATTGATTTTTATTCTTCGCTCATATTTCTTCTATAATGTTTTTCACAAATATTTGTCTTTATTCAGTTTCATCAGATATTTCGAAATTACCTCTCGAAGAGCTGGCGAAGGTGTTAATTTGGTTAGGAAACTCGATTAATTCATTCAGTTATTTAGGGCAAAGGATTCGTTGTTCAAAAAGTGATGGCACAATATATAAGTAAGCCGCTCTACCTAACTGCTAGTTATATTTACATTGATGTTTCCAGGTCATTAGGAGTTAGCAAAAAACGGTGCTTTTCAAGTAAAAGTAACGGGATTCCATATGCATGTTTTCTGATCGAGTGATAGTTAATTGTCTAACGTTTTTTCCAATATTCCTTTGAATCAACCTAAAATGAACATGAATTTTTTAATAATTGGAATTATTAAAATTGGAGCTTCGCTTCTCCTATATTTCAGAAAGAATCGTTGCAGCTAAAGGATAATTTTAAGAGTTGTTTGAACATATTATGTCTGAGGGGACGCTTCTCGAGTCAGAAGAACATTATGAAGAGCCTTTGCCCCCACACGACGAAGAAGATGATAGCCAAGTGGGAAGCAGCGAAATAAATGTAAATGTGGCGATTAATGGCGATAGTGAGCAAAATATCAAACCTGATACGACAACTGCGTTTTCTCAGGTTTTCTTTCTAAGCATGCATGAGTTATCCTCTTAAATCTCTTCTAGAAATATTATTTATTTTGCCTGTAGTGATTAAATAAAAGGGTTAAGGATGTGGAAGAAGATGAATTATTGGGTGATGATGATGACAGTGATGACGAAGAAGTAGTTGTCACTATTGGACAAATTAAGCAAAATGTTCCATTTTCTGCTGCGGTAAGTCTTTATCTTTTTTGTGAAGGTTGGAAAGGAAATAAATGGACACTTAAATTGGTCTTTTAATAACATGACTATTTTCTATATGGATGATGTGCGAAAGCCGTAGTAAATTTAGAAAGCAACCGGAAGCAGCGTTGGCAAGCTTGATGTAGATGGAACTCCGACAATAAATGGAGAACCAATATACGATTTAGATCTGGCACAGATGGAGGAGAGACCTTGGCGAAAACCTGGTGCCGACATTACGGATTATTTCAATTATGGATTCTGTGAAGGTTGCGCTTTGGAAATATTTTCAGATCATAATGTAAAAAATAGCTTTATAAAAAGGCAGTTTATAGAAACGTGGAATATGTATTGCGAGAGACAACGAAAACTGAGATCTGAATATAGTACACAAGCCGCCGTTAACAAAGCTCTTTTTTCGAGCATCACTCTTGTTGCTCCCGTTTCACAAAGTACTACTCTGACAGGTAACTTTGACCACTATGCGTTGAACTTCAACTATATTTACTTACCAGATTAGGAACTTTTTTCCCAAGGTTTTTTTGGATATTAAAAAATTGATAAGTAATATTTCGAAAGATAGTCTACAAGAGCAGTGTAAAAGAATCTATAGTATAAATTATTATATTATGTTTTTCGGCCTTATTATTTATTTGTTTTGGTTAGGTGGCCGACAACTACAAACGATCCCGATTCTGGGACAGGAGAAATCATCAATGGATCTTAGTGGCTTCAAATTAGAGGCGGTATGTTTAAGGAGTTTCTTAAAAATAAACTGAATCATAAAATCGAAATTTGTTAAAGGATATTTCAGTTTTGCTTATTTAGAATCAACAGCCCATAATACGCACTGTGTTAACTGGTGCAGCACCGAGAACAGTTGGTTCTGGTGGGACTTCCGGCACATCCTTGTCTGTTTCTGTAAGTTTCCCTCCAATTGCTATCATTTAGAAGCAATAAATCTTCTGTGCAACTAACAAGTAAGAAATAAAGGTACCATTTGTCCTGGTTTTTAATTGAACTATCAGTTTGACACATTGAGAATACCAGCTCGATTTTATCCCACTTCTTACAACAAATGTAAAGTCTTTCTGGAGTGTAGATAAATTTCTCAGATAAGTTTCCATTCTTTTATAAAGAGCATCTGGATGGAATGTTCGTATTTATCCTTTTCGTTCTTATTCTTTTTTTACAGACAGTTAGTGTCCTAGATGGCACTAGTGATGGAGTTGTGGCACCTCTCGCTCCAGATAATTCTGTCCCATCGTTGACAACTGCTACTGCATCAGGGACTCCAGATTTCACGAAAGCTCCACCAGATTTTTCGAAACCACCACCGGTTATTGATATCACAAATACCGCTAATAAAAGGTTAATTTATAGTTTTTCTACTGTAACTTTCTTATTCGTATGCTTTTGTTTATTGCTATGTTTAATTTATTTCCATATCCTAATTACTTTTTTCAGTTTATTCTAAATATATTTTCAGTAACGTAGCGATACCGACTGTCTCAGCTCTTCCCAGTTTGCCGGTCCCTAGTGATGGTCCACCAGGAGTGGATGAGCCAGCGCCACCTGGTTCCTCTACACCGCCACCGAGTTTCAATGATATGAACGCGCGGCATATTCCCACAGTAGATACTTCCATACCACCGCCCGGGTATTGTTTCATATTACCTTTTTCAGACAGATCATAATTGTTTTTCAATCATCAAAATGCAAAATCATATTACCGAAAATAGCAATTGCATTGTAATATGCCAATTCAGGTTTAATCCGATGCTACCACCACCGGGAATTGGTGCACCACCGCCAGTAAGACTTGGATTACCAAATACGAATGTACCTCCGCCTGGTTTCAATGTACCGCCACCTAATTTTTCACAACCACCGCTTAATTTCCTACCACCACGATTCGGTAACTTTATATTATAGCATTTTCAATTCAAGTTAAAATTTTGAAAGTGTTATGAGTTAAATGTAGACATTTCAGGTGCTCCAACAGCTCCACTTTCACGGCCTCCCCCATTAATGTCCAGACCAACTTTCCCACCTCCTGGTTTGGAGCGTCGAGAACTCGAAGATGATGATAAAGACCGATCTGATCGTGATCGTTGTCGTGAACGTGAAAGAGATCGTGATTCAGCTGACAGGTACATTTTTCCCCAGGTTTTTAGCTAATTTCGGAATAAATTTGCCGAACCAAGTCTGTAATATCCTGTATTTGTCTAATTACCGTGTGACAAGTTTTGCGTCCGTGAACTTCAGTGCAGCTTACATTATCAGGTAAACTTTTTGGTATTTCGTCGGTATCTTTTTTTCATTCTGAAAATGTTACCAAACTTCTCTGGAAAAGAAATTATGTTGCTGCAAATTTATCGGAAATTGCTATGTAAATTACTTTTGGCCTTTTATAGTAGAGAAGATGATTACAGCAGCAGTCGACGAAGGTATCGAAGGCGATCCAGGTCATACTCCCCACGGTATATTCTATCGCTACATTCTTTCAACTGATTGTAGTTTTCTACGAACTTTTAGTCAGCAGTCCATAATTTTGATGATTTTTAAAATGATTATTAACTCACAAAATGGCAATTTAATTATTGATAGGTCTTCAAGACGACATCGCGATGATCGAGATAGAGATCGAGACTCAGAAAGATATCGAGAAAAAGATCGTGACAGGGAATCACGGTCGAGACGACACCGTTCACGAAGCAATTCTCCCTATGAAAGTTAGTTTTGCCTAACTTGTCTCAACTTTTCTCGGAGCTCTGATTGAGTATACCAACTTTATGATTGAAATTTTGGGTTGCTAGAAGCTTATGTATGACTTTACGCAACTGCGAATTTGATTTCTATTCTTGCAGATAGCAAAATTTTGCAAAATTATGCAGTAGATTGATACTGGCAACTCTTTATTTTCCTAGTTCTGCTTATGTGCTGTGTTGTTTGGAACGGTGTGTATTTGTGTAAATTGGTGTTATCGCACATAAAAGTTACAAATAAACATATCTTTATTGAGGTTTATAATTTGTAAAATTGTTAATTTCATTCATAACATTAAAATTGATTCCGTTTTATATTAGGTTCACGCAGTTCACGAAGGAAGGAAGACCGCGATAATAAAGACAAGGAGAAGCGGAGAAATAAGAAAGATGAGTCAGGAACTCGGACAAAAGAAGAGATTACAGAGGAAAAGGATGATGATAAAAGAGAAGGAAGTGAAAGGAAAAAAGACGATTCGGAAAGGAACGATCGAGACAAAGATAAAGGCAAGGACAGAGATAGGAAGAGAAGGTTATATTTTTTCTAATTTTTAAAGATTGGGCAGTCTGGGGGTAACTAAAAAAAGGAAAAAACTAATTTTAATTGTTGCCATGCTACGTAGCACCAACTGCTAACAGTGACACTGCTGGCAGCATGAAGAAATTGTTCTTATATGGCAAGAAATGAAATAAAACTCCATGTACGTCAACTTTCTGGTGTGGTTCCAGTAATTTTTGGATTCTCGGAACAAATGAAGTTACTAAAACGGTTGATACTCCCCCTCTTGTCCTGTTCTGCATTACACAAATACGTCTATTCTAGACGTCACAAAAGTGATGATGATAGTCCAGACAAACGAGAAAAAGAGAAGAAGGCGAAAGTCAAGGAGGATCATCCATCGGCATAGTCATCCTCCACGGAATGTTTTCTGTTCAGTCATGATTGGTTGTGTAATTTCTATTCTTACGTGATCTGAATGTGTTTATCAATGGTTTTCAAAATTAGGGAACGAATTATTGGACGCTTAGCATGTGACTTTGTTTTCAAGAATTATGATTCATCTATGTAAAGTTAGTTTGAACTGATAAAACGTTCTTTTAACCAAAGCATATACGAACGTTATTGTATAGCGATTCCTTGTTTTGACATACAAATGACGCAGAGGGAAACGGACTCTGCTTGTTTGCTTGTACTGTTTTTAAAAAAGGTCAATTTATATAAAAACAGTCCAATAATTCGTTTGAAATAAATACTAAAGGAATTGGGCTGACATGAACAGAAAATTATGAAATAAAGGCAGTTCACGAGGTAACAACTACAGAATCCGCATGACGATTAGATTCCAGCTTTAGATTTGTCACAACTGAGCATTAGAATCGCAGTTCGTTTCTGGAAATATTTCTGAAGAGACAAGAGTAAAGCTATTTCAGAAGTTAGCTACTTCTAGGTTCTGTTCTCCAAAGCTCGCCACATCTCTTTTTAATGGATTGGTCTCTTCAGCAATTAAATACAAGAACAGGATCTACGGCAATCTCACCATACACCTTTTGTAATTAAGTAATATGTACTGCTAGTTATGAAGGTGGATGAGGGGACTATATAAGTCTCTCAGTCTGCTGACTCATCAATTTTAGATAATTAAAATGAAGCGTTCCTGAACCGTAATTTGGAACCGCATAGAAATTACCCGAAACAAAGCAAAAGTAATCAATCATCCATCATCATATGTTACAAATCTATACCAAACAGATTATAGCTAGCACGAAAAAGTGAAAAAAAAAATGCACAACGGGTACATACAAGGACAGATAGAACTGCATGATTCCAGATGAGGTTGGTACCAAGGAAGCGAACTTTCCAAATATCATTTCAAAAATGTACAACAAATAATAGTTGATTAAATAAACGATGCTATGCCAACTAACATAACTACTTCATATATCTTTGCGAGCGAATACTCTCCAGTTATCCCATACCTTGCCTGATAGTATCATTTACAAACCAGAAATTACCAATTTACTTAAGCTCAGATCATCTCGCTTCAAATTTTCATTTGAGATGAAAATCCTTCACTACAAGGCGGATAGTGTTTCAGCAATTTCTACTAGTTTTGAGTGTTATCGCTCGTAAAGAAAAAGTATTATTCTAAATGATAAAAGTCTAAGAGTACAAAACGTCTTCTATAATACAAGTACGACGTTATTAATTACCATAATTAAATATATAAGCGTAGGCAATACTGTTTTATTGGTTGATAACAAATGATACTCGATTCTGTCAGATGAATGCATGTGATACTTGACTCTTTCAGATGGCAGTGGAAGTGTTCTATCACATGATAATAGATATGATACTCTACCAGATGATAGTAAATGTAGTATTCTATTATTTAGGTAATCCCTTTTTAGATAATGAATGAAGTTCTGATGTTGTGCAAACGGTGCACATATCAATTCCACAATTAACTAATTAATTTTGAAGCAAATCGTAAATACCTGAGGGGATGGAATTCCTGAAAAGACACTGTGAAAAGTGCAGCATAACATCAAATCTGTTGACAGGTAGAGAATATGCGAAAGCAATGGCGCTAATTAAACTCTCGCATAGTCTCGCTCTTATACAATTTCAAAACAAATGAAGGAGTTAATAATACAGATAATAAATAGGCCATCATTATTTGAGTACTAAGCTCGGGTATATATGCATGCATCATATAAAATTTGCATACTTGAACAAAACGAAGCAAAGAGACTAATAAGATAGTCAGCCAAAAATAACTACAACAAGTGACTGCTAGAGTGATCACATACAAAGAAGGAAGATAGGTTGGTTGGTATTGATGAATTAGTTTAATAATAATACCTGACGAGGCAGACCTACACAACCTTTTTTGAGGGCTTAAACAGGACGATGCTTGATTTCCGGAGGCGCTATCTGGAAGTCAGCACTAAGAATTCGATCGATATACTGCTCGCTATCTGCGTCCACACCAATAGTCCACATCAGGGAACACCAATTTGCTGCTCGAGCTCTGACCACTGCTCTGCATATGTTTGTCAGAGCTGTCGTTAACGTATTTGTTTCTGTAATCGAATCTTCATCTCATTTTATGGTACTTCCATAAATGATACAGTTAACTGTTAATTAATGATGAATAACCTACCTAAATCTTCATTGAATCGAATCATTTCACCACGAAGATGCTGCAATATGGCATGCCTTTCATTAATTCGACATTGCTGTAATATTTTAATTGCATCGTGCAATTCACGTAATGCAACGTGAACTGCAAGTGGTAGCGGTGCTTCTCGAAGCTGCTCCATTTTTGTCAATAATGTTACAACGCGTGCATGTTCCCTACAAAAAATATTGATGAAGTGCTGAGAGAATGTGAGAGCAGCCTAAAGCATAAGGTCCGTCCACTGTTTCAAATTCATGAATTGAGATGGATAAAAAAAGATACCTGAAGAAATCGACAATCAGACGATCGATTCTGGAGGGCACTTGGACGAGACGAGGAATTGGCATATTGTTGGTTGAGGATATCTTTTTACCTAGGTTATGTCGGGCCAATTCCGCTTCCGTCTTTTTACGTTCTTTTTCCAATTGACGATACTGCTCGGTACATTCTTCCAAACGTAAATGCAATTCCAGCGCAGACGTTGAACCGCGATGATATGACCTTAGCTGTATTATGCACATTATTATGCACATTAATTACTGGAGCATTCAAAATGGTCTGAAATAGCGGAATATGAAGTATTATTTTTACCGGTGGAGTGTATAGCTTAAAGACGGGTGGTACTGGTAACTGTCCAGATAAATAAACACCACATAAATGCTCGTATAAGGCCTGTTGTCGTAACATTTCCGCCACAACAGGACCCAGCTCTCCATCCTCTCTTATCGGTAATCCTCTCTTCATCACCGCATTCTGGCCAACTACGGGACGAGGCATCACTGAAATTAAATTTAACTAAGTTTCGAAAGTAGTCTTTTATAAAAGAATGTTTAGTGCTTCTTAATCCTTTATTCACATACGTAACACTTTCCAACTTACGCATAGGAAAAAACAGTGAATTATGAAAGATATCTCAGTACATTGAAAGATATCTCAGAAGTGCTTGTTTCCATAGTGCAATCAAGTGTAGCAAAGTCCTGCATTATCACAAAAAATTATTGTTAGAGAGTATGCGCAAACTAACGTGAAATACATGTATAATTGGAATGCTTACCAGTAGATACTTGACGTAAGGGTGTCGTTGGTGACCAACAATTTAGTAAATCTAATTGCTGTTGATGATGGGGATGTAATTGACTCGATTCCTGTTCAAGCGGTACTACATTGGGCGTATGCTGCTTGGTACCTATATCGCATACAGCGTGGAATTTCGCAAGAGCTTTCGCTGGAAGTGATCCTTTGTCCGATTTAACATCATGTAACCTTGTATGTAGTGCTGCAGTATCTGGTGAATTCTGACTTAGTGTGCCGACTCCGGATCCTGATCCAATACAACCTTGGATGTTCAGCTTCAGCAATTCCTGGAGTATAGTAGGAAATGAAAAAAATAAAGAGGTGAAATCATTTCACAAAAGAAAAGATGAGACGCTAAATAGTACCTGAACAAGATCATATTCCTTCTCGCCGCTAAAAAAAGGCACAGTTTGTCCTAATGATGGTATCACACCACCACTACTAAGATATGGTTGCGGTTGTGGTGGTGGTGGTGGAGCACACGGTACTGTTCGAGGTACATTCTGTTCTAATATAAATGATGAAGATGAGGAAGTTGGTTGAGGAGGGCATGAAAATGTGGGAATTGTTTCAGTTGTTTGATAAGGTTCCTCCGTTGATTTCCTCCAGATATTTGCATAATAGAAGCATGTGGGTGATTTTTGTGATTGTACTGGAGAAGCCTGTGGATCTGATTCTGAATGCAAACTTTCTGTACGACCACTATTTGTACCATCCTGAAGGTTGCCCAGATTATTTATTGAAAATCTTCGTGAATTCATCTTTCTATGAAAAGTCATTTCTCAAATTTAATTAAGCCTACATAATAAAGTTATTTAAGGCACTCTAACTTTTTTAATTCCAATTTTCACCGGTACCTCTTGCATATACATAAACGAGAAAATCAATGCATGAGGAAAGTCATTCAAGATTGCTTTCAACAAGAAATTTTTTTCGAGTCTTTTTTAAAATAAACTTTGCACCTTAACTTCCTTAATTCCAATTTTAAAATAACTGCTTCACTTCTCCGAACCTTAGATAAAAATATCTATGGAGAATGGAAAGAGTGCAGAGAATTGGATTTGTAGAAGTTTATAATCAATGGAAACGAAAATAAACGTTCCCTTGTTTTTCAGTTAGTATAATGTTTATTAATAAATATTTGTGTACATTATTTACACGCTGATAATACATTGTTTGGTTAGGATCTCCATGCATGCTATTAAAAATGGAAAAAAAGGCCCAGATATTTAACTGCGCAACAAACTTTAAACGATAGTTATGCGATATGGCGTAAAGTAGTTAGCGTATCTGGCCATTAACGACTTGCGACAATCTTATCCTGGCGATGGAAGTTCATAATACAAAAGTATTGTTTTTGATCATGAAAAGGCAAAACTATGTGTGTTCGCACAAGTGTCATTTGATCCATTTATCTGACAACTCCTCATCAAAAGAAAAATCCTATCGATAAAGTTGTGCTTGTGGATGAATGAAAAACCCAGCTAATGGTTTATATCTGACCATTGACCCAACCGCTATCACTCTCTTTTGCCCTCAACTGCGTTAATATACAGAAAACTGGACAGAAATCTCCTTTCAAATGGAATCTATGCTTCCAAAACTCACATGAATAACAATTTCTTGACGATGATCAATGTCCAGAAATTAATGGCTTAATTGAAAAGTAACAGATACTTATTCTGTGGTGGATTTAAAGGCGTATACCTTGAGAGCATTTCAAATACCATTTGGAAAAATGCAGAGGTAAGACTTGCCTGTCCTGCGCCATTGATCCAATTGTAAACGGAATGCCAGGGTGACGGCAAAGATTCAGATGCATTAGGAATGGGAGACCAGCAAGAGTGAAATAGACTGGAACTATTCGGTGGTGATGGTGGATTACCAGAACCCCAAAGAGAGATCTTATCCTCTCCAGGTAGCATCGATGGTTGATTGAAGCAACCCACAGCCATTATACTCGTCTGCACCACCAATAATTCCTGAACTGATGTACTTTAGATGACACGCTTCAGGTGACACTGAATTCCCTTTCTTTCCTCTTTTCGAGATCTCTAAATGGCTTATAATATTTTGGGTAAAAATAACATGTGACAAATACATATGTTAACGAAGGCCAAGAAAAGCACATTAATAAGCCGCCCAAGGACATATGAGCTTCAGCGCAGACCCTAAGATATGGATGGAAGAAGTGGGATTTTCGGATCGTCGTGTTTTCTTCATTCTCGTTATACATGATGAGCTGTAAGACGCTAGCACCTTCCTGTTTTGTTGATTGCTGCTAGGGCCGATGTTATGATTATGATGGAGTGGGGAGTATGGTATGCTATGGTACAGGGTAGTACGGAGTCGAGCGAGACCTATGTCGGTCCCCGGCTGGTACAACATCGGTCATTACGGTCATTTATCCCTTTTTCTACATGCATTCCCTCTTCTCCAAGATAAAATGACTCCTTATTTCCACTTTTATTATTGTTATTATTATTATTATTATGCAGTGTGTTTGTTAACTGGGGACACTGAAGCTAAGTACATTGTTTTTTTCTAGTCAGATGATTATCTAAGCATCTCTCAAGGAAAAAAATACCCATACCAAGAATTCCCAAAAACATGTCAATGTTGTTACTTAATAAAAGAAAATGGAAATGTGATTGTTTTTCTGCGATGATAATAACATAAATATACTGCGGTTTTTTTCCACACATCATTTATCACCTCTTAATTTTTAATAGCAATCCGTGTAGTAGGAAGTATTCATCCGTATCTCCAGAGTATTAAATTGTACCTTTGATATAAATTGATATAAAAAAAGCACTATCAAAACTAATATAACCAAAAATATGACATCAATGATAGGAGACGGATAAGTCTCAAGAAATTGTTTAAAATATTAAAAAATTAAAGTGACAGCCGATATCCAATTTTCGTCACTGATTAAGTCTCTTTATGAAAGTAAAGTGAAGAAGCAAAAAAAACAAGGAATTTTGGAAACAATCTGAAGAGAATGTAAAGTTCGGAATAATCAAGTTTGATTAGTTCATGTTCAATAGCTTACAATAGCTTAAACCCTCAAACGATAAATCACTACAATGAAAAAACAAAAACAATACTATTTTTTTTTAAATAATTTTTTTTTGATTTTCAAGTCTTATTGCTTCAACTTTCATTTAGTTATCACCAATTGTAGGAATTACCTCAAAATGCTTTCACCGATTAGCAAATCATAAATAGGTCATTTAGATAATGCGTCACTTTATCAAAGGCAATCATTAGATATATCAAAAAGACTTTTATAAGATTCTCTTATGAAATTAAATCATTTGAAGCAAACATCTTCAGTACAATGATCAGATAGAGTGCAAGGTTCTGCCCCTCTCTCGTACTTTCTTGATAATTTGAATATTTTCGAAAAGTAAAACTACATGTGGANATGTGGAGGACCATTTACTGATAGGGGGCCTAGCAGAGTGTAAGATGACTGTTTAAAACTCAACAATTCAAAAGCTTTTTTCTGACGTTATGTAAATAAAATCAATGACATATGATAATTTTCAAACCCGGAAAAAGATACCATCATTATTTGCTATTACCGATAAGTTTAATTGATGAATGTCAGTTTAATTCACAAAACAAACTTAATATTCTTGATTAATCTTGAATATGAGAATTGAATTTAGAGAAGTAAATTAATGGAATAACGAGATTCAAGAGGATCAGAGTTAGAATAGGCTGTGATACTAACCTAATGAAATTAAATGATCACTGAGAAGAGTATTGCAATGAAACAATGACTCGAAGCATGTGAAGGTTACACAAATGTATCACTTGCTGACCATTGGATAGATGAGGTGACCATTTTATATCGAGACAAATTTTCAAATAATTTTAACACGGACGGAATGAAAGCAAAAGAATGATCATTATGCAGTAGTTAGAAACGGACAAGTGAAATATATTCTGCTTCCAATGAGGGAAAGGCAGGAAGGGAAGGGAAGGGAAATTGATGGTTACAATACTGTTGGAAAAAAAGTTAAAATGATGAAGAAAGGACCAGAAAGTTTCGCTTTTACAACAGGTCATGTCTCCCAACTACTGAGTGCTACGGGTTAAAATTATCTGTAAAGCTACCTTCATGTATCTTCATTTCTTCGAAAGCGCGAACGGCTAATACCAAATGTATGACAATAATTTAAGGCTGGTATCAAAGACATGATAATAATCGGAGCTATATAGAACTGGGAGTTTTTGATTAAACATATTCAACACGGCTTACTGATTTCAAGTATTACAGAAATGCTTGACGAATGGTCATTTCTGTTAAAGGCTTATTTTTTTTGTGCTGCCTTACTTAATAGGATAAAATAGCTTTAGAGCTATGACATATTGAAATACTACTATCCATATTTTCTCAGTCTAATCTTTGCTAATGAATTCAACTATATTACAGTTTGCTAATTCCGGAATCGTTGAAAAGAACGAAATATGTTTAGTGTGGACATATCCTGTTGTTGACACACGCCAACCATTGGAACAACTGTGCTTGAAGTGCTCATTTTTGCTCGGTTGATTGTTGAAGGAAAAGACAGCACAATGCACATTGCGTTGAACCATGACCTTCAACAAAATACTCTGCATTCTATATTCAACTCATGTAATTTCAAGGCTATACCAGCACTTAAAGCGTTTTGCCTCATATAAGAATAAATGATTGTTAACCTTCAAAATATCAAATAAAACTAAAAAAGAATTACGGGCGGAGGTAATCTAAAGCTTTTCACTCATTTTATTTAAGCTTTTCAACTTCATCCTCAGGGTTTGGCTTGAACTATATCAACTGCGCGATTGAAATGTCAGTAAACACTTTCGCTGGATTTTGTCCATTCCAATTTAATAGGCATAAATGAACGAATTCATTCAAAGGAACAGAAACGATCATAAAGATGTCGCACGGTCTTTCCTATCCACTATTTTACTATGAATGATCAGGTCACTCCACGACAGTAAATATTCCAAAAACAGTCATAAAAGAGATCAATTTGAACACCAACAGGATTGTAACAGTGTAACATTGGCTAGAAGGAAATGAAATCAACTGGAAGATCTTTGAATGGCACTTTCATTTACGGGATGATCCTGTCTGTGTATATTATTGATGATGAAAAAACCGTACCCATTTCACACATCACAAAAACTGTATTCAGTTTTGCAAGTTTGTCCTTCATAATTATTCTCAAGGTTTACAGCAATTATTCCATCTTCCCATCACGAATTGTAATCAAACAACAGTGGATGCACTTGATCCAATGTGAACAGATTTTATTATTATTACTAAGAAGAAAAACATATGAATAATATCAAACAATATATACATATAAACAGAGAATGTGAAAGGCTAAGATCCAGCAATCGTATTTGCACAGTAATCGATCTAGAACAACGGTGATAAATGGGAAGAGAAAGGAATGGAGTTGAATAGCCCACCAGTAAATATCACTTATACAGACAAAATCCCTAAATACCTTGTTTTAATGTGCTGCATTATCTGAAGGATATTAATGACAGGAATGTAAACAATCCGTAAACACATCCTTAATTTAGAGAAAAGCCTAATCTAGCAAAGTGCACTTAATCCACTTCACTTAAAAGCGTAGATCACTACTAAAAATGCAATAAGCAGAGAAATGGTAGGAAAAAACTATTAAATGAGTGGATCAAAAAACACACCTAACCGGCAGCAGGTGTAAGATGTCTAACATGCTTAACCCATCTCTTCACCCATTTCGCTATCCTCAATTTATCAAATGACTAATCAATTTAAAAATGTGCTGAAAAAGCGCAAAAATAAAAAAAGTTCCTATTTTCTACAGCTTCTACAAAAATACTGGCCGCAGCAATAAGTTTTCGCGTGGATGCATTAAATAACACACACCCACATTTATTTCAACGTCACGACGTTCACAGGCACACATACACATAATGACAGGAAGACAGACATATACCAACCACATGATGAACTGGTACCAGGAAGTACCATTCGTTCCAGTTACTGCAAGAAAAGGGTTGGATGGAAGAGATGGCAATGATTAGAGGAGAAGGGATATGCACTGCACTCAATTTGAAGGGGAGACGTGTGCTGATCGGCTCAATCCGTCGTCGTCCAACCTAAACCGCAGCTGTATTCGCTCAAGAAGGTGTGTAGCTACAGCAACAAATCAATAATGATGCCTTGGAACGAAGAGAAACGAAAAATCAGCGTTAGACTCCTTGAGCGATGTGTTGGTGCCTTGCACGAGGTGTCACCACAGGGCACCCTTCACAGGCCATCACCCACTACAACACATACACCCAACCCATGGAGAAAGGGAAGGATCCTTACTAGCCAGCTGTCTTCCTTTTGTTTCTTCAGTCGGCCAGAGAAAAGAACTATTCACAATGTTCCAATCGCATGCTATTATCAACATTACAGAGTTTCTAATTTTTGTTTTCTATCTCCCCACTTTGCAAAACCCCTTACTTGGTCATCTCTTCACCCTCCATTCGAACCATAAGCCCAATTGGCAATCCCGCTCACCTTTGTCTTGCAAGTGTCACTAATATCACTAAAATCCTCATTAAATGAAAACTTTTGAGAATTTTATCAAATAATTCTGCCGACTCTTCCAATTATCCCTGCTTCCATCCAGATGTTCCAGAAGACGACCATTTGATTACCGCTTTTTCCTGCAATAATTATGCGATCAGTGTAAATCAGTAATTGCTGGCATGGCAATTGGATTAGCACTTGAATATAGGAATTCAACAAATAGTTATTTGAATATGAAATTCGATTTTTATATACAGACATAAAGCCATCGATTGATACAAAAAATATAATTCGTAGATTCCTGCACTTTTTTAATACTGCCTTTTCTGCAAAGTTTGCTATCTGACACAAAATTTCTCATAAGCAATGTAACCAATATATTATTATGTAATGTGATACCATGCAAAGCTTATAATATCACCTTTAATAAACTATTATGGCCCACACTACTGGTAGAATTGATTTAAAATAATGTGACAACTCAGAGGTAGGCGAACCAATTTTTGGTTTATTTTCTACCCAAATGTCAATTTTAGTTAAAGAATATCTCATGAACGGCGTGACACAAACGATCTTGACTCCTTACTCACAATGGATCATCCCAGCAACTTGCTAATTTTCAAGAAAAATTAGTTGATGAGCTCAGCATTCACATAGCTTTCTTTACACAATGATCATAGGGAATATTTTAGTTTTAATCTATTTCAACTAATGAGCACATCTTTTCAATCCTATAGTTTCTATTTTTTAACACCGCCGATAGATATGACATTTTCAAAACTTGTTCATTCTGGTAGGCATCACTCACTAAATGTCGTGGCTGTATGAATAAAATATATCGAAAGACAAATACACAAGCGGATCGAGACTTCATAAAATATACTAAAATTGGAAATTTTCTACTCGAAAATTCCGCGATGCATGCTCAGAGCAAAAAAAAGTGCTTTTCAAATGTTTTTTAAGAGCACTAAGTTTGATGATATTTCATTTAGAAATTGTGAATTTGAAGTCCTTTTAAGGAAATAATGCCCAAAAACATGCCTAACAATATCACTAACTATCCACTTACTAGATTTAAATTCCATTGATGTAAAACAAATATTTTTAGGTCTTATCATTACCGACAAAAATTACAATAGAAAGGAAGGAGAATAATTTTTAGGAATTAGAATTGCAAGAGTGAAAGATTGTTATCTTCAAGGAAACAATTGTTCATCGAGTTATCGTGCTGCTGTGAGATATTGGGATGATGTGGCTATATCGTCAAAGTATGGATGAACATCAAAGGAGTAGCAAAAGTAAAGACCATTATGAAATGGAAAGAACTGCACTAAAACCAACCGGCCTTGGCGGATAAGCACGCAAGTATATATATATATATATTATCTACCTACGAACTGTGTGGGATGAGAAAGTTTGGAATATAAAAGATACCAAATCCATTTGGCTCGAGCACCCTTTTGATTGATCTTGTATCGCTCGCGTCTTCTTGGATCAGACGTCAGCAGACCAGCTATAAGTTAGATTCTTAATTTATTGAATTAATTCGCAAATAATTTGCACTATTGATAAAATTTAACAAGTAAGATAGCCTTAAAAGTCTTCACTCGCTTCTTTATTTATCAAACATTGATAACAAAAGATAATACCAAGACGAAGTTTGTCGAAGTGTTCAGGAAACAGTGCAGCAATACATAAGGAAGCGCCATGTCGTATGATCCTAGGTATGACAGAAGCACCGCCGGGACCATCCGTAATTTTACCTGTGATATCTAGCTTTCCCAGTAAGTCTGTCACTATCAACGGTGCCAGGAATATTTCCCTAAAAACGGAACCTAGTTTTGTGTTATTCGGTAGAAATTGTTCTAGAAGACTGTGGCCATCCCACTATTTTTTAAGGAAATAAGAGAAACTTCTAGGAATTTACCGTTCATGCTCTCTAGAATCTGAATTAACTGAAAATTATAATAAGCATAGATATTATAACCTAGATTGTAAGGATCGGAATACATCAAGGCCATATCCGTCTACTGTATATTCGCCACTTCCTTTGTCTCGCACTTCTACTTCAGCAAATGATGCCTTCAAGCGAACTTCTACTTTCGCCATTCGTTGATTGGTGCCTTCCACTAACTGGACGGGTGGTACCTGAACAAAAAAAAGAAAACACTTATTTATTATATAGTAATAAACGATGGCTTTTAAATCACACAGTAGCGGTGTTCCTTCATGAGGATAAGACAGTTTTTCTCGGCAAATCATTGTTTAACCCATCTGCATTCTTATTCTGATGCACTACTTGATACATTCATCTGCTTCCACTATATTTTAGACTTACTTTTGGACCAAAAATAACATCCTTAGCACCAACAGCCACAGATTTCCTGTATTCGAAAATGAAGTCCCGTTCCTTATATGCACCAGGAAGCGAAACCATATAATCTAGCGAAACAATCAGATGTGCATACTGAAATAAATACACAATTTATTATGGATAATTTTCTCAAATAAAAAACTTTTGCTCTATTAAGTCATTCCTCTCCATCAAACCCATTTACTTATTAATCGAAAAGGCTTTTAAAACAATTTATAACCAATTACAAATCACAAAATCCAACAACACGGTTCTAAAATTTCGAAAAATAACCATTTCATCCGTAATTCGCTCTTCCATTTTATTACAAAGCATTTGTTGACTGATCCATTCCGTGCCCAATAATTCTCTAGAACAAAAATTATGAATAAGAATGCTGTACAAGAACACACTGAAAGCTTGGTATTATAATAAATGCAAACTACACATTTTATGCGTTTTTGAATTATCCTCTGTGGTCATCTTCTGTTTCTGTTGATAGCACAATAATGCTTCCGTCTTTGTACCAACAGTCTAAAATATAGAATATCTATGCAACTCCTCCTCAGATTACATTCTTTTCAAGAAAGAAAATAAACCCACCGAGAGAAGTCGATAAAACTTCGGCGCAAGTGTGAAAAATAGTAAATCCTTTGGACGGCCTTCGCTATCAAATGCAATTTGACGCAACATTGGTAAAATTTCCTCGGGCGGCTTCATTACTGGTAATGCCAACTTGTCTGTTAGACCAGATGGGAAGAGATACTCTATCGCCCTGAATAATACATCCTTTACGTAAAGTTGTATTTTTTAGCTGAATATTTCAACATACTTTGTTAGTGCAAATAAATAGTTAACTTTTTAAATAGTTTACTTGTCAATGTCATCTTGGGTGATGCTACTCGGTTCCAGCCCCAACATATTGGCCAGATATCGTTTTCCCAGTTCGAATTCTGCCCTTTCTCGGGCCATAATTTTATTTTGTTTTCCAACATCATTGAGATAAACTTCCAACGCACGACTTATTACTTTCTTACGATGTCGAGGTACATCGGTATCACCAGCATTTGCAATAGTATAATCATCGGGTAGTACCGCTTTGGGTTCCGTTACTAAATTTCGATATCGGATATTGTTTATTCTCAGGAAACGAAAATAATATACTCGTTGAATTAACCCAAAAGGAAACATTTCGATTCCTGAAATTTATACAAACAGATCTTGCAAATCTCGAATTTGACTCATTCTGGAACTGTAAAGGACAACAATATACCAGAACAAGAACTTTGACATTATCGATTTGCCTAGATATCCCATATACGCAGCAACCGAACTGCCTGGAAGTCGAACCAACATTTCAGTAGAACTACTGAAATTCATATTCCTTTCGGCCATCTTCTTTCCAGCCGCGAAATACCAATTCCCATTGGCGAAAGGAAATATGATCTAAGCGGAAAGTGGATCAGGTATTGGTTCCTAACCTGCTCAACCGGGAAAGTGAGAGCCGTTGAAATCACAGTGAGAGGAATATGTTGAAGTGCGAGAGTCATATGTTGAAGTGCATCCATTGCATCATTAGCAGGCCATATTTAGTAATAAAATAATAACATTAATGCATAATTAAATGAAAATAAGTGATAGGAATATTTTAGTACTTTCCAATTAACTTTCCAATGAGTGAATGTAGGCATTAATGATGGAAAATGAAAATTGCCCAGATGTACATTATGTGATTATTTCAGTCCAGTTTAGATTCAAATATATGTTAATAGCACATGAGAGAAATATGGAAAAAGGAATCGGTATTAATTTAATCCTTTGTGAATCTTTCAACCAGTATTCGTGATTTCCATGTTTCACCCTTTTTTACAACAGTAATTTGCACGATTCATACGACTTGTTATTTTGGTTTTTGCAGTCTGCTTTTCGTAAATAATGTGGATGCATTTGTTTTTAGGTAGTGATGATCTTATTAAAATTCCGATAAATTAAGGATATTGTTTGCTATTACTGATCTATTCTTATGTATATATATAAATAAATCGATAGCTCAATGATATTAATAATACAAGTTATAAGTCAAAACTGAATATCACCGATATGAATTGTAAATGTTCCGCAATATTATATAGCTTCGGAAATGCAATTACCGAGCTTTCGTTACATTGTTACATTTTTACAATAAATGACACTAGTGCCCGTATCATCATTATACTGATGCCATCAATTGTATTGTTGATGTTGAATATCATTAAATCAAATGCAAAATGGATCATTCATTTATTATAGAAGCTGGAGATTAAAATTCTTGAAGTGTTTTAGTGGCTTCTAGTAGTGTTGAAAAATTGGAGTGTCCGATATTAAGTCCAGAATAACTTTACTAATAATTAATTAACTGGTTGTTTTCAAGTTGTACGAGCGAAAAAAAATAAATGAATCAAGAAATGTAAATAACTAGGCTAATTGTGTCTGGAAAGGATGGGAAATTTGGAGGACTGAATATCTGCAAGTTTACGTGAAGTTTACATGAGGTTTTATCGAATTCAGATAAATGTGAAAATGTAAGGGATCTGAGCAGCATTATAGCATATTATAAGAGGTTTACGCAATCATTTTTATATGAAAGGATTTAAGTAGAATACTTTGAATGATACTACTAATATTGATACTCTGTATGTTAAGTACCTTAATCAGCTGCTTTCATCATGACAGCTAATGCCCTTTTTGCAAAGAAATCAAAATAGCTATAGAAGGGTAGCTTGAGGCAACCCTTACATTAAGCTACCGTTATCAGTCATCATGCTGTCAAGTGGCAATGATGATAATATACCGATACATGTTTTTAGCTAGTATGTCACTTCGCGATATTTCATAGCCGATCTGATCTGCATTTTACTTTTGCATACTTTTCAACTATGCGCCAAATATGATCAAATGTCACTACAGTCCTTTCATTTTATTTAATCGGCATAAAACTAACTCAAGATACTCTATATACAAGTCTTCGGTGATATCCTCAAAAGGTATACTCTCCATAGAAAGACATTGATTTATTTTATATGTTACTTCTGAGGATTTAAACAGAGGAGCAAGTGTGAGAATGATCATTAAACATAAAAACAGTAGCTTATATTGAATTTGAAATCAAAAATTGTTTAATCAAGTGATTGCAAACCGATGTGAAACGATATGTTTGTCATTTGATGAATCAAATATGAACATTTAGCACCTTGTTGAAATGTCGCACTACTGAACCTGCTAGTTTATATCAAAATCAAAATACGGAACGGATTGAGTATCTATTGACAGTCTGCCATCTTTTTCCTTAACATTTTGATAAATCAATTGGAGCTTTGAAACAGTACCTGAAATCATTTATTTTTATAAATTATTTCCATAACAATTATTAATATGAGTTATGGGAAGAAAATGATTAGATCTATTTATCATTTCGTTGGTAACTATGCTTAGCCTTTTTTATTTTACTTGGAGAAAAGATACTGTTAGATATCGTAGAAGTCATAGGCAACAGGATTATTGATAAGGATGAATTGCGTATCTGTGAATGATGATGTCTAACTAAGTAATAAATGCTAGCCAACTGTTTGTTCTTTTCTCTTTCCACCTCATAACTGCCAGTACGTTAGCAAAAGAGATGCTATTAAAAAAGCGAATTTGTTAAAGTTAGTAAGTTTGATGGAAGGTGGAAGAAGTGAAGATGGCATGAGCTTTGTTCCATTTTTGAAATTATTTCAAAAAATTTAATATTCTGCAGAGCGAAAATACTTCCATTATATTTTTTTGTATTAAAGTGTATTTGAATAACCAAAACTAATATTTCAAAGAGGCAGCAGATCGTCCCAGTCTATTTATAAACTATTTTGAAAAAACAATAAGGCGTTGGATCAGATCGATTTCCTGGGCTATCATGACACATCTGCTTGGTTAGTGCTTATTTCAATTGAATTTCTTATCAAATGGTATAAAGTAGAAATGATATCAATAAATTTAACTGAATTTCATTTTCTCTGGCTGGTATGATTTTTCATAACAAATGGAAATAAAATTGAAGATCAAATAGATATTGTGTGTTCTCATCACTTAAAATGCTATCTAACTTATATATGCTATCTTATTTCTCATAAGTTTTTTGATTCTCTACAAATTTGCACTTATTTTATTACTGTTTTAATTAAATGAAAAGTGTTAAAAAAAAAGTTTTTTCTTTTAGCTATAAACGTTGAAATCATTTCACTACTACTTCATTAGCTTTTATAAGGTTTTCAATAAGAGTCATCAGTTTCTTCTAATTCATTCTAGTCTAACTCTATGAATACTTCTTCAAACATAAATTTTCTTTGTCATAAATAAATTCTTATACAAGCATGGTTTTCAGTGCAAATTAGAAATTTGCATTACTAAATTAACTAAATGTATGTATTTTAATTCTGAACCCGTAAAAATTACATCGAATACACGTTCGAAACATATGAAATATACATTCAAATAGGTATATTTTCAACGTGTATTTCATATGTTTCTTAAGAATGTAATTAATTTAGGGAATAAAGCAATTTTTAAGAAAAATAGATCTGCCCACGAAATCTCTCTATCTCTTCATTCCTATTTCTTCTTCTCATCATCTCTTTCATTTTTTCAACAAATTTCTATCAGGCAATAAGCTTCGTATGATTCCACAACGATCATTTATTTTTTCTTCTTTATAAAAATTTTTATTCCTTTCCTTCATTTCTAAATCATAATTCAACATTTCCTTCATTTCTAAGCCAATATTTTTTTTCTACTTCAAATTTCATTAGTGACCATTTATAAACTTTAATACATCAAATGAAATGATAATGCCTTTCATCAAGACTTCTTAGTCAGAATAATCATCCATTGATCCAAGACTACATTGCTAGAAGAAGAATTGATTATATTATTCTCTAGCAGAGATGTTTAACTTTTACAAATCCTAAAATCGATCCTTTTAATTGCTCTACGGCCATTTCAGCTGCCGTTCTGATGCTTGTGGCGGTATCGTAATAACTGAAAATGTTTTGTTTTCTAAAAGCAACTTTTGTTTCAATTGAATATTATGGATGATGTAGATGATGTACAATGTGTATTTTGATGAGATTCAGTTGTCCGTAAGTATGCATTCCAACATTCCAGCTTATCTTTTCTAATTCTGCTTACCTACTTCCGATCCAATTCATTCATTCCTATTTTGAATAAGCTTGTTATCATCACAAGCTGGCAAATAGTTGAGATGAAAAATCGTCCTTTAGCTAGTTGAACTCATTTGAAGACACATGCAGTTGCGTTTCGCAGCACTTCAATATTCTTTCCATTATCGCCATTTACTTTTCCAGATCTACTCTTCATGCAAATTATCACTCTATCAATTTCTGATTACTATTAAATCATTTGATCTCATCCACTTAGTTTACCAGCGCAATTTTACTACTCAGGATGTATTTTCTCCTCCGCCTTACTTTCAGGACTCCTCTCATTTTCTTCGCACTATGAATCCCATTATATTAGTTCTGCCTAGCACTGTGTTGAAGCATTCCGATAGGGAATGGGGCCTTGTTTGCCATGAGGTTGCCAAAGGATGGCGCGCGTGGCTCTTCCATAGATTCATCTCAACTACTTACATGCAGACACATCAAGGCCTTCAAAGTTCATCAGGGATGTCTCTTTCATTTTCCTCCACTATTTATGTTATGTTATCTCAACCGACCGGTGTAAGCTATCTCGAGAGCATATTTATTTGTCTTCTCTCCTCATATTCCGTAATAACAAATGAAATAGAATAGCTGATGACAGAAGAAAGAAGATTCCGGGAAAGGCCACCAATACATAGTCTAATTCGGTAATGAAATAATGGCCTCTGCTGTAAACAAGTTGTAGGCAACGTTGAATATTGTCACATCTAGAAGCTTAATATGCAAAAATATTTGGTTCTTTTTGTTTTTCATATGAGATATTGGTCCTCGAAAGCGTCATTGTTATAACTGCAACACTTTAGTTTACTTTACCGCCTCAATGAGACGAAAAATTAGAGAAGTCAGAAGAGATGCTAAATCGTAAAGAAAAAGGGACAGATGATGTGAGGTGTAAGGCTGAGGAAATAAAATCATTAATAAACTATTTCGTCTTTCCGTCCAATGCATCATTAATCTATCTAGGTCTGTCAGCCGAAATTAAAAATGAAATCCTATCCTTCGCCATCATTCTTCTTTTATTATTATATTACCTACATTCATGTTAATCAATCTCACAGATGCTGAAGTTAGGAAAGAAAGGAATAATTACTCAATTTTTAATCATAAATCTGAAGTCTATTACTAATCTGTAAAATGGGATTCTGAATAATAAAAGCAGCATTCGATATTCTCTCCAGTTCATTTTTGAAGAAAGTTTTTGTTTGCTACTTTAACTTACTTACAAAATGTGCTCACTACTTTGCACTTAATGTTTTCCAAACTAACTAAAGAGCGACAAATCTAAGTATGTATAATAATACTCAAGTGTTCACAACTATTCTTTTTTACCATGAATCATTTCAGCTTGCGACACAGCTACTTTGACGGGTGTCATGTTGACCCGCCGCAAATCGTCAATAATTATTCTGCAACAACCACAACAACAGCAACAGCAACAGCAGCAGATGGTCGTAGGGACTGAGCGAGGTACCGCAAATGATTCAATTGCTGTTCTGGCGGAAATGCTGAACTTCGACGCCTCCTCAAACAAGCAGCATACCAGTGGTATGTAGCGGTCCTAAATATTAGATCAGTGTCAACTAGCCATAGCACATATTTTATCAATGTGGGGAGTTTTTGGATATAGAAGTTAAATTATTTAAAATGTGTTGTTAATCAATTTGTGATGTAGATTCCCCATGTAAATTTTTTTGCCTTTCCTGGAAAGTATAAGAAACCTAAAACAATCCTGCAGAAAACCATTCCTTAAGATTTCTGGCATTGTAATAGGATGGTTAATGTAATTGCTAAAGACAACATAGCTGAAGTTATAATGAATCCTCAGTCTGAAATTATCAATTTCGTCAAAAAAGTCATGTAGTATGTCAATTCTGAATCTGTTCAGCGTTGGCGTTGTTGTCAGGTATACGATCACTTTATATGCGGTAATACCAATTATCAATAAACTTATTGGTACTGAGAAATAAATAAATAAATAAATGACCATCTCGCTGGATAGCGTATGAAAGAGATGGTTAATCTTGTATTAAATTATAACTTCAGTGGGGGCAGAAAGGGATTTACAATTGATGAAGAGAAGATATGCTGATAACTACAAATCGTATTCGAACGAGAGCGTGATCTTACTATAATATGAATATGAATAGTTTATATGAATAGTTTAGAAGAGAAGGGAGTTAGGCTCCAATTTGATCAATGCTAACTTTATGAAAGGATGAACAATTGAATGAACAAGTAGTTGTATTGATTCTTGTCCTGTATCCCTTCCTCCAGTACAATAGCGCTTCATATCGATGATCACCTCAACTTTGCTAATTCGCATTGGAAATAAAATTAAGTATATCAGTTCTATTTTTAAGTATATTAGAAAAAATAGATTAAGTATTTAGTCAAAAGTTGACATCCAATTCAAAATCTGTTGAAATGGATGCTGGATTTCTTTCTGAGAAAGGAATTAGATAGCGAATCAGTTTACTCAATCAAATTTAACCATACCTGAAGTACCAAACTATTTATTTATTTGTACCTTATTCTTTTAAGCATACTATTGGTCTGTGAGAGATTTTCTTGTTTACTAAACAAAACAATCGTGAGAAAATTTTATAACTTAAATCAATTTTTTGATACCTTTTTTTCATGGCTATCCATCATTATCAACCAAAAGAGAAGTCGATAATCAAGATGGATAAAAAATACAGTGGAGGTTTAAGGCCATTATAGTTATAATAAAAGCGTTAACCATCATTTGTGAGAGGTCACTAACTATTACGTCTAATTTTAATCTAATATTAAAAATGAAGGTCTAATAGATAACAGACATACCATCATGTTGAGAATTTTCCAGTATGAATTATTGCAGATATTTTGCGATGCAGCAGCGTTTTCGAAGATATTCCTAAACTTGCGTGTGTAATATCAATGATATCAGTATGCCTGAACACACCTCATACTTTCTCATTTTTCCCACCACTCTATTATATTGTGTTTGTTGCCGATGGTATTGTTACTGTCATATTTTTTATCGAAGCTATCGTCAAAATTGTTATCAATGGACTGATTACAGTCAGTTGATTTCATACTTAATCCATCTTGAACAGTGCTTTCTAATTTATATAAATCTTAGCTTAAAGTATAAGAAGAAAATTTGTTATTAAATTAAATCATTCATTGATTTGCCATTGAATTAGAAAAGATTAAAAGCCTTATGGAAGTAATTAATCAAAAATATAAATGTTTACTGAATTACGTGAATTATTCATTAACTTTATTGTTTAGCATGAAAGAAGCTATCTTCGAGATCGTTGGTGTCAGTTTGATTTCTTTCTCCTCAGTTTACATATTATGTCATTATTGCTAAGCGCTTATGAGCTTATCTGTCTGTGGTTTCCACATTTGGAATGGCACTATCATCCATGGTACGGTGTGATAAGGGCTCCAAGGCCATTTATTATGATAAGCTTTATACGTTCCATCGTACGCTTTAAGTTACCTAAGAATCGCATTCAGCAGATCATCAAGTAAGTATCTAATAATTTTTGTTATTTTTATATTGCAAAATATTCTACAGGGAAAATTGATGGCAAAATAATCAGTATCGAATTAAGAGATATTAAATTCAAACAATTTAATTTGATTTTATAAAATTTTATTGAAAAAAATCAACTTCAGACGATCTTCACAACAGATCCAGAATGTGACGATATTCTTCATGTTCTTTATGACATTCTACGCAATTATGGGAGTACAGTTGTTCGGTCGAATGGATTATCATTGTGTCCTACCAGGAACCAATGTTTCTAATGTAACAATCGCCGATTTAGCCATACCAGATACAATGTGTTCGCAAAAGGGAGCTGGTGGTTACGAATGCCCAGCTAATATGGAATGTTTGAAGCTAGATATGAGCGCTCGTACTGAAGGTTTCTACGGAATGTTCAATGATTTCGGTGAGTTATTAGAAGATATTATTAAAGTCAAAGATTTAATCTAATTAAACTAATTAGACATTATATTAGTGATTCATATTTTCACATAAAATTATAAAAAATGAAGAAATTTTTAATTCTAATGTTCTATCAGATCTATATCGTTTAATTATTGATCTATATGAATGATACATCTCAGGTTCAAGTTTATTTACCGTCTATATGGCAGCATCGCAAGAAGGATGGGTATACGTTCTGTACGACTGTTTAGATACATTTCCTTCTTATATCGCTTTTTTTTACTTCATCACTTTAATATTTCTACTCGCTTGGCTTGTTAAGGTTTATTTTCATAACTTTCTTTCTGTACTTTTTCACGTAATACACGAAATGTGACAGCATTTGACATCAAAATCGATCTATATTTATTGACAAAATTCAAAACGTTGACTTGTAATAACAACATTTAGAATGTGTTTATTGCCGTGATAACAGAAACTTTTGCGGAAATACGAGTGCAATTCAGTGAAATGTGGCAGACACGTGAAATAACTGTTGAAGATAGTTTTGCTCAGGTTAATTAATTAATTTATATCAATTTATATCAATGATAAAGCAAAATAAGATATTTTTAATGAAGATATTGATAATTTTTTTAAGAAATTAGAAAAAACGGAAGATGGATGGAGACTGATGGCAGTTGATGCAGAAAAAATAAATTCTGATAGTGCTCCAAAACCATTATATTGGGTTTGTTGCAATAAATCATTATTAAAATTTAACGAAATGAATTATTATAGTAACTCATTAATTCAACCGAATGAATTAGCCATTGGTTATGATAATGCAGCGTCAAATATTTGATTAGTTCATTAGTTATTTAATAAAATTTACTGATATGAGCAGTTAAGAAATACAATGGCAAGTTATTATAGTAATTGATGATAGTGATTGCTTCATACAATAACAACTTTAACATTCTCTAATTAACCAATGATTTATAGTTAGTCCGTACGGCGGTATTTCAAACATGTATGATGGTGATGGTAGTATTGAATGCTGTCATCAATGCATCATTTGTGCATAAACATGATGCAAGTGATGAACCACGTAAACTTGTCTACTACTATATCGAGGTTCTTAAATATTTCCACAGGATATTTCTATATTCAATACTTCTTATAAAATATGTAATAATTAAGTAAGAATAACGATCACATAAAGATAAAAGAGTTCATGTTTATTTTACATTCATTTCTCACTTTTAGTTAACAAAAAGAATAATGTATGTAAAGCATAGGTAGGCTTTACGATAATATTCAACGTGGAATGCCTTCTGAAAATGATTGCTTTTGGATGGAATGGATATACACGATTACACAAATTTGAATTTATTTTGTGTATTGGAAGTACACTAAATATTATTAAGCCACTGTATTCAATGAATCTTTTCACTTATTTTCAAGTTTTTCGTATCGTTCGACTTATTCGTGCCTCTCCAATGCTCGAAGATTTCGTCTATAAGGTTCCTCTATTATTTATTTCACGAAAAAGAATTCCATAAAACAAATAGCAGCAACATAAATTCTCATTCTATTTCTTTTCTTATCATTATTGAAAGTTATTTCCTAAATTAACATAATACAATCTAATGCACAAAATAAGAAGTGATAAATTAGTAATGTTAAGTAATCAATCAATCGATTATTTTATTTACAACCTTATTTTATACGCTTACATAATAAGTTTCTTATCATTATATCACTTATAAAAGATAATTTTCTATGTTCAGTTAAATTAAAGAGGTAAAGAAAAATGCAAGATGAATATGATTTAGTGTTGAAGAGAAAGAATATTTCCACAGAAGATGATCGAAGAATTTTGTACATTACTGCTTTAATAAATGCAAGAACTGAATGAATATAATGATAGATTAACAGATTATTTCTTGACACAGATAATTCCAATTATAGATATTTGGACCAGGAAAAAAGTTAGGTGGTCTGGTAGTGTTTACGATGGTACTGCTTGTTATCACTTCCGCTGTCTCATTGCAACTCTTCTGTTATGTACCAAATTTGGATAAATTTCGAACATTTCCACAAGTGAATCTCTCTAATTTTTCTTACAATACTAATTTAAGTTATAGTTTATACAGTTATATACAGAGTGCTTTTTCAGGCGTTTATGTCAATGTTTCAAATAATAACACAAGAAGGCTGGACCGATGTAGTAGTGGAAATTTTACGTACCACAAACGAATCCATGGTACCATTCGTTGCAATATACTTCGTTGGATATCATTTATTCGTTACTTTGGTATCTATCATTTTTTATATAATTTCAATATTTCATTTTTTTAAGTAGAATTGCTTTATTATCATAGTATCACGTGATATTATGATAAATTGGAACACAGAGCTTCTTTCATTTTCATTTAGGAATAGTTTCATATGTTCGCTGCATTATTGCTATTTCAGATTGTTTTATCGTTGTTCGTTGCTGTTATACTCGATAATTTGGAAATGGATGAAGAATTGAAAAAAGTGAAACAGCTTAAAGCGAGAGAAGAGGTAGGAAGGCGACAATTGGCATATCATATTTTGACGAGGAAATTTAGAAATGAAATCTTTCCTTTCTCGATCTTAAAGATTCTTAATCCAACAATGATTGATAATATTGAGAAAGAATGGTCGAAGGGAAGGAAATCAGGATGATGACATAGTTGAAACTATTTGTAGACTACATGTATGCGTACAACACTTCCGTGGCGGTTGAAAATTTTTGAGAAATTTCCCACTCGACCACAAATGGTCGAATTACGAAAAGTATCCAGTGAATTTCCGCTACCGAAAGTGCGGCAGAGTTTCACAAAACAATTTGCGGAAGATAATACTCTGACGTATAATTCACATTCTGAAGGTGATTATTATTTTCAATGATAAAATTACTCTAATATTATATTGTCTCTCTATCTTAGTATTTCTTTTTGAAAAAAAATTTCAGCAATTTAAGAAAATTATTTTACACTTCAAGTATTGTAGTGTATGTATTTTTGATTTATTGTGATAAATGGATCATTTGGTAAAAAGCAATCATTAAAAATGCGAAAGTTACATACACAATCTCGCTTTACTTATCATTTCAGAATGGGATCTTCATCGGAAACAATTATTATATAATGTTGGAAGAACATTTTGTCGTAGCACTGTTACTGTACGAGAAATCGGTCAGCTTTCATCGAAATGGGCAATTAGCATTTTAATCGAGTATGATCTTGCAATAATTGAAGATATCATTGGGAAAATGAGCTGATTCAATTTCTGAAATAAATTGTTGTGATTTGCAGAGAAGCAGATCGGAATCGTGCCCTTTTTTTGGATTCAAGTCAATACATTGCTCAACTTGGCCAAGGTGGTACTCGAATGTGGGGAGATTCAAGGTGTATTCATTGCTTTACTTTCTCTTTTGTATTATATATAAAAATTTGATCAATTCATTTTCGTATCATCAGTGTAACTGATCAACTTTACAAACAAGATATATCATAAGTTGAGAAGAGATGAATAACTTATGGAATATTGTTACAGATATCATAACAGAAGTATAAATCGACCGATAAAATTGAAAGTTGTTTATAAGCATCTGAAGGAGAATGCTGATGTGCAGTTGGCAGATTCGGCACCAAAAAATGATTTAAAACACGGTGAAATTGATATTAAAGCATTGCAGCAGAAACGACAGCATGCAGAATTAACCAGGTTTGTTTGCATTTCTTATCAAAAGCATTGTTACGTAGAGTAATGATATCTAAAATATACATTTCAAAAATAATTAGTAATTCATTAATGAAGTAAGCAATTAGTAGAGAGTATTATTTGCATCTCTAAAGCTATTCTTCTTTTGCTATTTCTAATACCAAGTTTTACTGATAATAGAAAGCTTACTTACTTTTCCTTCATAGTTATTGTTTCGAAAATGATAATATTTGTAATTTGAGGAATCGAATTGAAGAAGAAATTCGCGAGAATCATCCATTCTTCGATCGTCCACTTTTTATCGTCGATCGAGATTCACGTTTTAGGCATATCTGCCAAGAAATAGTTTATGCTAAATATATGCCTGACAAAATCGACTCAATTACTGGAAAACAAATACAACAGCGTTATAAACAGCTACAGTAATTTTTTTCTTCATACAATTTCAACTTAAATCGACAAATGCTTAGTTTTCTTTTATGCTGTCATTTTTACGATATAAAGGAATAATCCATGAATTGGTTCAGAATATTGCTCATTTGCTGATGATTTCATCTATGTCTACGATATATCATCCCTGAAAAATATTTCACGTTTTTAGCATTTTTAACTCTCTTTTGATTTCTGATTTATAACGCTTATTAACTTATAGTTTTGTTCATTCGATAGAGTTCAATTAGTTTACAGTGAGTTGATCGGTCTATTAACATATCTTGATTGGGTAATGGTATTTTTTACTGCACTCTCCTGCTATTCGATGCTTTTCGAAAGTCCGTGGCCGACAACAGGCGAAAATATGATCTTCAATAATCCTTATCTTCAGGTATCTGTATTGATTATACAACTTCAAGAATTAGAATTAAAAGTGCTAAGTCATCTGATAGCATATTTTTCAGATTTGTGAGTATATGTTTGTCATATCGATGACATTTGAACTTGCTGTTAAAGTTCTTGCAAATGGATTTATTTTTACGCCAAATGCTGTAGTGCGAGACGTTGGTGGCGTGATGACTCTTTTTATTTACATTGTACGTTTCTTTCAATAAGTTTATTTATTTATTTATTTCGTTATTTTTTACAATTTTGACAAATCAAAATATTTGAAATTATCTGATTATTCCATCCATACATAGTTCCATATTTAGCGATTTTTTAATTGTTTTAGATGAAATATGACCTTCTTTTCACTGCTGTTAAGCCTTACCTAAGACTAAATATGATTTTCGGGTAATAGAGATTGAAGTAAATCTTGAGAGTGAAAGAGGTATATCTCATCCTACCTAATATTGGGCAGGTAATGTATAAGTTTCCAAGCTATAATTTTAAATAGATGCATTCAGCACATGAATTTATGATCTTTATGATTCGTATTTTTTTGATGCTCTGTTTTTGAAGGTATTATAAAGGCTGACTAGTGCACAATAATCTTGCAAACTATGTAGCTCTTATTTTACAAGATAGTACCACTGCATTATTTGCATGCTACTTTAGTAATGTCAAATCTTCTTCTCTTGATAATTATCGTCATCGCTCTAGAATTAACTAAAGTTTTCTTGCTATACATTCAATAATATATGTCTTCTAATTATTTTGATCATAACCTGATCAGATTACTCCGCAAAAAAATTACACCAATATTTTATGAAATAATAAATAGGATAAATAATGATATGCTGAAAGAAAAAAGGAAATAAATACTTTGAAAAAAAGTCATACTTCATCCAAGACAAGTTGATCCATATTAAATACATAATGAACAGTATCATAAACTCAGTAAATTGTAAGGACATTTTTTAGACGAGCGTTATCTATTTGATTTGGATGCCACGTCATGTGGAAATTAATTCATTAGCACAAATGATGATGATTTTTCGGGCTATGCGACCATTGCGCATTTGCACTCTTGTGCCTCACATAAGACGTGTAGTTGTAGAGTTATGCAAAGGATTCAAAGAGATTCTCTTGGTACTTCATTCTTTCTATATTCTTCCACTGCACACATTTTATCTTAATAAAATTGCCAAGATGAAAAGTATTCCAGATGATTGAAATTCGCGCATTTTAGGTTACCACTTTGCTTATTTTGCTTATGTTCATATTTGCCAGTTTCGGTGTGCAAATTGCTGGTGGCAAATTAGCTGCATGTAATGATCCAACAATCAGTGAAAGGGTTTGTTTCAATGTGCTATAATCGGCGACTGTTCTATTAAAATTAAACTCTCTGCTTTTAAAATGATAAAATTTGATTGCAGGAAAATTGTTTTGGTTTATTTGAACAAAAAGTTTTCGTTACACGAATGGAAGTGTATGGGAAGAATGATAATGAATTGCATCCAAAAATTTGGGTGCCACGAGTTTGGTAATAATTAAATTTAATTTTTATTTGTTGCTCTATTTCTTCTAACCTTTAATTTATTAATAAAAAAGTGTTACAGGACAAATCCACGAAATTTTAATTTTGATCATATTGGCAATGCTATGCTGGCACTTTTTGAGACTCTTTCCTACAAAGGATGGAATGTTATTCGTGATATATTATGGATGAGACAGGGACCTGTAAGTACCTCACCTTTTATCAATTCTTCTGAAACTTAAATCTGAATCTGTGCGGTGCTATTGAATCTAGTGTAAATCTAATCTGTTATGATAGTTTCAGTGGGCAGTGGTCTTTATTCATATATATGTCTTCACTGGTTGTATGATCGGACTTACACTTTTTGTTGGTGTTGTCATTGCAAATTATACGGAAAATAGAGTAAAATTTTTTCTGATTCTAATTTACAACTTTTTGACGCACCAGTTTCAGATTATTTAATTAATTTATTTTTAGTTAAGTTGCGCAAATTAACTTTATTTGGCTAAGAAGCGATTCCGCTTATTTGTTTGAATTTTTCGTAATATATAATGACATTACTTTATTGCTTGTCTTTCCAGCATGTAAAATGAATGCAAGAAGAATTGGACAAATTTTTGCTATATTTAGGGTACAGCATTACTTACAGTAGACCAGCGGCGTTGGTATGACCTAAAGGCACGCTTAAAAATGGCGCAACCTTTACATGTTCCACCGAAACCAGCGGAATCTGCTAAACTCCGCATTAGACTGTATGAAATGATATTGAGCAAATGGTTCAAACAGGTACGCCTTTACATAAATTTCGTAGGCAATAAACGGGAGATCGATCTTCCATTTTTGAAAATTTTGAAATTATTCAATATTTTCATTTTATCAAGTCCAACTCTTTTTTGAGATTAAAGAGATATTTTCTATTCTCATTTACTTCACATTTTTCAGGTATTCGCAATATTAGTAGTGATTAATTCAGTGACTTTATTCATTCCATGGAATGTTGAGGAAGAGAAGAATAACTATAAGGCTCTTGTTTTCATGACAGGTGTATCAGCTATTGCTAACATTCTTTTCACCGTTGAGGTTAGTTTTCATTTTTCATTTCTTTTTTCCGAATTCATTAACAAAATCATTTTGTCAGTGATTGTCAATCTTTTCGTTTTTTGTTTTAAGCTTGAAATAAGCTTCTGAATTTTGATTTTTCAATATATTTATTTGTAGTTAAATTCTACTTATGTACTCGAATGAAAAAAAGTAATCACTTGAATGACTTAGATAACTGAGAGAGTACCACTCTCTTATTGATAGGGATCGAACCACTGATACTATAAACAATTAATAAAATAGTTCAATGGCTATCTCTAGGTACCTCTTATTATTAGCCTACGTTGAATTGGATTTTATAAAAAATGCGAATTGATCTTCATTTTTTCAATAAATGTGTTAATTCTCTTCATCAATATACTTTGATGATGAAACTTTATTTCAGATTCTGTTAAAGATGATTGCATTCACGGTACGTGGCTTCTGGCAATCCAGACGGAATCGAATCGATTTACTAATCACAATACTGGGACTCTTTTGGATTTTTACTCATTTTATCATGGCCTTACCTGCAAGTGCTGTTGGTGGACCTACGGGGCTTAAAGAATTTACATATACTTTTGGATATTTGGTGGTCATTTTGAGATTCTTCACTATTGCCGGTCAATATGAACATTCTATTTCCTGTTGTTTTTGTTTTTGTATTAATTATAATAATTGCTGTTTTTTTGATCGCTGTCGTTCTGCAGAGACAAATTTTCATTAAGAAAATGATAGGAACGTTCATAACATTTTGTAATCATTTGTTGTTTCAGGTCGTAAGACAACTCTAAAAATGCTAATGTTAACAGTAGTGATGAGTACGGTGCGAAGTATGTTTATTATCACAGCTATGTTCCTCCTTGTATTGTTCTATGCTTATACAGGCGTTATACTCTTTGGTATGGTTAAGTACGGACAAGCTGTTTCCAAGTTCGTCATTCATTGTTTATTCTTTTTAATTTCCTAACTACTTACTCTCATATATAT